CTCCTCTGGGTGCTCCTGGCTCTGACTCAACTGCTCCTCCAGGCTTGAGATTTCTTGCCTTAGTTCCTGCAAGAAGAGCAGAACATGGGCCCTGGTGGAGCCCAAAGTACTCTTCTCCCCAGACACATACAACCAATGGACCAGGATGAAGAAGCAATGTCAACAAGTCAGACTAAGAGAGCACAGAAGCAGCCCAGAGCATAAGGCACTGGCAGGAATATCACAAACGTAGGGGGCACACTTCTAAGGTAGGCAGACTCACAGAAAACAGGATGGAGCCACCCAGACAGACTCTACCCAGGGGGAGACAAAAGCCACAGAGGTGAGTGCTGTGGGAAAGACACCCACAGAAAATATAACTAGTAGAAGACAAGGATACAGAATGAGGAATGAAGGGGCAGAGAGATGCAGTGGTCTCATGGGGAGGGAAAGCAGCAGATGCAAAGACCCCATAAAGATGGGTCGAAAAGGTTCAATGGGCCCTTGTTACCTGGGTGGTGGCTCTGTACTCCTCCAAGGTCTGGGCCAGACTCTCTGCATGGCGGGTACGCTGGGGTAGAGGACACAAAGCCACTTGAGCCAGGACTCAGTCCCCCAAGACATGAGGCTGCTGGGTGGGGGGAAGCCTGGGAAAGCCTGGACCTTGCAGGCCACTGTGACCTGGGGGAATCCCTCAGGCTAGTCTGGGTTGTTTGGCTAGGCCCCAAAGCTGGGTGGGCTCCTGTTACACAAGGCAGGGATTAGGAAGGCATGCTAAGGGCAGGTCTGTCCCCTCCCTGTCCCTCACCTCTGAGAGGACTGCTTCACGCTGGCAAATGAGTTGTTCACACTCACAGAGCTGCCGCTGCCAAGAAAGGAACCTATCCATCTCTTCATGGGCCTCCCGCCGCCTCCCACATCTCTCCTTACCCTCCTACTGTGCAGCCCACCCCTTCCCTCCCAGCCAGGTCTCCCTTCAGCCTCCAGTGACAACCATGGATGTCAGCTGCTCTGAAGGGGGCTCCAGCTGAGCTGCCTAGGCAGCCCTGCAGCATGCGGATTCTTAGCAGCTTTCAGTGCTGACTTGGGTGCGGGGAGGTGAGCAGGCCTCAGGCCTTAGACAAACGCTGCACCTTCAAAGCATCTTTCTCTGTGGCCAGCTCCTCACTCCGCCTCTTCACTCCGTCTCGCTCTGCTAGCAGCTTCCCATTCTGGAGTGGGGAACAGCCATACTCACTAACCAGCCTCGCTGATGCTAACAGCTAATTGCCATGTGTGTACCTTGGTCAGCCCTTTAATTCTCCCGCCACCCTGCTGGGATCTCAGCTGGCATTTCTCCAGAGGTGGTTTCCCCACTATGTTAAGGTGATAACAGGATTTCCCAGAGCCCTGTGTGTTAAATGAGTGAATAATAACTTGCAAGTACTTTGCATTTCTTTCTTTTCCATTTTTAAAAATGAAGGCAACTCAGGAATAGAGGGGTTGAGCAGTTTGCTCCAGCTCATACAGCTCTCACTCATGCTGACACAGGCCGGTGAATGTGAATGACTACAGACATTTAGAGCAGTCAGAAGTGCTTAGCATGCATCAGATAGAGATATTAGAGATGAAGCTGGGTGCAGTGGCGCATGCCAGAAATCCCAGCACTCAGGGATGCAGAGGCAGGTGGATCTCTGTGAGTTTGAGGCCACCCTGGTCTACAAAGTGAATCCAGGACAGCCAAGGCTACACAGAGAAACCCTGTCTTGAAATTAAAAAAAAATGTTAGAGACAAACATTTACAGAATTATAATTAAAAAAATTCAGATTTCCTAACATACAAAACTGTAGTGAACCCAGAACACACATACACAGTCTCAATACATAGCTTAGGCTAGCTTTGAACTTGTGAGCCTCCTGCTTCAGCAGGTATGGGCCACCACACCTAATTCTCATGCCCAGCTGCAATAATTATACCTTGGTTTCTTCTTTTCTCCATATCTCTTGCTTAAGTCTAACTCAGTCAGGTTGTCCCCTGGAGCAACCCCAGTGTTTACCTACTCATAACTTCTTTCTTTTAGCAAGTTTATAATTACAGAATCGGCAACAAAATCAACTCGTTTTCTTGTGGAGACCATGGTCAGCTTGTGGTGGACACCATGCCCCAGGGCTGGACCCCTGTGGTCCAGCACAGTTTGTCCTTCTCCCTCCCTGCAAGCAGGTGGCTAGAGGCACTGTCCATATTACACTGTTCTGTAAGAGAACGCTGTGTGGCTGGATAGCCATTAACAGCATCCTCCCCTCAGCTGTACAGAAGAAACTGACTAGAGGGCCAAGAGACTTGGAAGGCCACCCTGTGTGATGCCCAGTCCCACTGCTAACACTCAGCCTCTTCTAGGGGGCTGATGAAAGCCTGGGTGACAAAAGGCATGTGAGAAGTGGTGGCACTCTAGGCACAAGGTGCACAGGGGCCAGAAATGGAGACAAGGGAGAAGCAGATAATGCTAAGCTCAAAGATCACTGATGAGGTCCAGCTGGGCAGTAGGGTAGCCACGGGGCTTGGTAAGGAGGTGGTGCCTGGGCTGAGCCTTCCAAAGGGAAGCTGTGAGGTCAGGAGAAGGCATCCACAACAGCTGCCCAGTTGGACCTAAGAATAAAATGGCCCAAAGCTGGGTGCGAGGAAACACACCTATCACCTCAGCACTAGGAAAGCTGAGGGAGGAGGACTGCTTCGAGTATCAGGCCAGCCTAGGCTACATAACAAGAACCAAACCAAAACAAATAACCAAATCAGACGAAAAAACAAAATTAAAAATTAAAAAAAAAGGCAATTCAGTATAGAGGAACCCTGTTTTGAAAAACAAAGAAAAGAATATGACAAAGTCCAAGGTCCCGGGCCCCTGAAGTCTGGCTAGCCACATCCTCCTCCAGAGCCCAGGAAACAGAGGCCAGCTCTTCTGGTCTCCAGCCTCGTCCCTGATTCAGGTCATCAGTGCGTCACTCATCTCAGCAGCTTGGGCTGCTGGGTGAAGGACGGAAGAAGGACAGCTGGGAGTGCTGTGTCAACACCTGTCTACCTGGTGGGACCCAAAAGCCATCTCAGCACCTGCAGCCTCCTGCAGCAGTACCCGCTGTAGGTCCTTGGGATTCAGCCAGCGGCCAGACCTTAGGAGAGCGAGTGTCCCATTACTCCACCAGGCCTCGCTGTAACCTGAGATCTCAACCTCTAGATCTCAGTGGGCAGCTGCTGCAGGCCAGCAAGGGGCTGAGAATAGCTCTAGCTCTGTTTGAGCTAGCAAGCCTAGAGATCCCTCTGCAGGGCACAGGGCCTGGGGTAGGAGGCAGGGCTGCCTCCTGTCTGCATGACACACTCTGGGGGCAATGACAAGAAAACCTGGCTGCTATAGGAACAGCTGTCCCAATCCCTCCTGGCTGGCTGTCTCCAGTCCAAGCTGAAGGTGAGGCATCCTCCAGGCTCCCTTGCAGCTGTGGTTAAGGGATCCTCCCCAGCCAATGATATGGTGGAGACTGCTGTTGAAATGACAGAGAGAGGCAGGAGTGTCTGTGTGGAGGGGGCGCTGGTGCCTCCCCACCTGCCTTGAGCCATCTGTGACTATGACGCCACAAGAGGAAAAAAAATGCTGGTGAGGGACTAGGTACAGAGGAATTTGTGTGCTTTGAGTTTGAAGCCATCCTGTACAGTGAGAGACCCTGTTACAAAAACCTAGGACTGGGGATGTGGCTCAGTGTTGCTTGTCCAACACATGCAAGACTCCGAGTTTCATTCTCAGCATACTCTCACTTAAGAGAAAAAGCCACCAAGCCACCAGACCATCCAGTTCTGCTTTGGGCAGAATTGGCCCATGTTCCTTGAAGCCAGCATGTTGTAGCCTGACAGCCACCACAGCTGGGTGCCTGGGGGCTCCTCATCCTTTGTGTGTGTGTGTGTGTGTGTGCCCGTGTGTGTGAGAGAGAAAGTGAGAGAGTGTGAGAGAGAGAGACTGACTCTACATAATCCCAGTTGTCCTGGAACTCACTATCTAGATCAGGCTAGCTTTGAACTCATAGAGATCTGCATGCCTCTGACTCCACCTCCCAAATACAGGGATTAGATTTCCTTCATTCTTCTGTTTGTTTTCAGACAGGGTTTCTCTGAGTAGCCCTGGCTGTCCTGGACCTAGCTCTGTAGACCAGGCAGGCCTCAAAGAGATTCACCTGCCTCTGCCATCCCAGTGCTGGGATTAAAGGTGTGTGTCACCATAACCCGGCAATCTCCTTCATTCTTAAAGACGTTCTGAGGGCTGGAAAGATGCTCATTGGTTAAGAGCACTGGGTGCTCCTCCAGGTTTTGTGCCAGCTCCCACATGGTGGCTCACAACCATCTGTTCCAGTGGATCCAACACCCTCTTCTGGTGTCCACAGGCACTAGGCACTCACATTGTGCACAGACATTTATACAAGCAAAGCACTCATAGACATAAAATAAATTCTTAAAACAATGTTCTGAGGACTGGGGGCATGCTGGCACATGCCTTTAATTTCAGCACTTAGGAGGCAGAGGCAGGTGGTTTTCTGTGAGTTCAAGGCTAGCCTGGTCTACATAGTGAGTTCCAGGACAGCCAGGGATACACAGAAAAAAAAATTCTGCAGAATATTATACCTGACTGAAGGCTTAAAGCAGCAGGCATCCTGCCCTGGGGCTCCCACTGTCCTGGAAGGAGGATAACTGTTCACGAGGGAGCCATACAACAGTGAAGAAGAGAAACTTAGAATTCAGTAAAGAGCCCAGTGCAGACACAGGGCAGAGGTCCATGAGGCAGGGAACTGTGAGCCGGGCTGAAGAGCCAGAGACTGGCTCCAAGGCCCGGAGCCTAGCTGGCCAGGAGGGGAGCCTTAGAAGTAGGGACACCTGGGAATCTGAGTACGCCCCCTCCCAGCTCCCAGCAACAGAGGTAGGCCACACAGGTGCCTTCCCAGGAAGGGAGCCAAAGCCCGGGAGAGTGACAGCTGTCAGCAGGTGGAGCCAGAGCAGAGCCCAGATTTGAAGGCAATTATGGCCTCCCCATGAGGCCTAAGTAGAAGGAACAAAGGTTGTCCATCTGATAGGACAGCAGAAGATGAGTGTAAAGCGAGGAGCAATGCTGCCTGGGATGTGAGCCCCCTCATGGACCTGCAACTGATCCGCCACCTTGGGGCAAGAGGGACAAAGGGGGTATTATTTAACTTTTATGGATTTCAATGTGGACAACAGTTCAGAGTGAACAGAGACTTTACAGATCTGAGTTGTAGGGGCTGGCCCTCAGGTAGGCACCAGCACTTCACCCTTTCCACAACCTGACCATGCAGGCTCCTGCTGGCTCCTGGACAACACCCAGGCCTGGTGGCTGCTTGCCCAACATGCCCAAGGCCAGAGCTCCACCTCCAGTACCACCAAAATGAAAAGCAGAAACAAAAGCTTAGAAAGGAAAGGAAGTCACACCCATAAAGGTGGCTGTCATGCTCATGGAGGTGACTTCAATATCTAGGCTAAAAAAATGTTTCACAAGTTTTTGCAGCTTCATTTGCATTGCCAGGGAGCAAACCATGAACAACATACTGATATAAACAGTGGATGATTCTGACATTTTCTTTCAAACAGTCTTATTTGAAAGATATATAGCCCAGGCTGGCCTTGCACTCAAAATCTTCTTGCTTCAAATTGCTGAATACTGGGATGAAGGCATGGAACCAGGCTTGCTGAATTTTACTGTGCATACCCTACATATCCTACCTTGAGAGTTAGGGACTTTCTAAGTGTCTTCTGGTTTAAGCCTTACATGGCCCCACAAGGTGAGGCCACTGGCTTGACGCCCTGATGGTGAGGGCATCATGATGCAGACAAAGGAAGAACTGGCCAGGGCCAATCACAGCCAGAGGGATGCTGGGGCCCTTTGGTTGCAGGACAGGGGCAGAAACTCTTGACGATGGGCGGCCTCAGCTCACCTCCTTCTGTAGTGTCTCCACCTCAGCCACCAAGTGCTGCTGCTCCTTCTCCTAGTCCACCCCAAAGAGAGGATAGGATTGGTCCCAGTCCTTGCCTATCACCCTCCCTGACCCAGGAATGCAGTCAGAGTCTCTGTCACTGAAGAGTTGGGCAGAGGAGGGCTTCTGACATCCTCTTATCATGAGGGATGACAGGTAGGCCTGAGGGGTGTGGGGGAGCAGGAGCTGGAAGCCTGGTAACCTTTGCCCCTTCACTGCTGTCCTTTCTCTGCAGCCAAACATGCCCCAACAGCACTCACTGTATGCCGGGCCTGGGCAATCAGGCTCCGATTCTGCTCTTCCAGGCTCTTGGCCAAAGTCTTCAGGTCCTCTAGCTCCTCATCCAAAGCCTTGGCCACCTGCAGGGCCTGCTGGGTACTGAAAGGTGGCACAGATGTGAGAGGAGGCAGGTGGAGAAGCAGAATAAAATAGCCTAGACTAGGAGGGCAACTGCAACCAGACACAGGGAGGCCAAAGGGCACAGGGAACGGAGAGCAAGGGACAAGGAGGTGCAGTGTGGGGTGGGGATAGCGCTCACTCTTCATGTGAGGGAGGGAGCATGGGGCCATACAGCAAAGAAAGAAAGTGGGCAGAGGGCAGAGAGAGAGAGCACAACTGACCCAAAGGCCAGGAGACCCAGGCAGAGGAAGACCGAAGAGAGGGGCTGGGTGGTGGAGTGCCTGTACCTGAGCCCCAGGCTCCTTGACAGCCAGAGGTGGGGTCAGCAAAGAAGGCATAGGCACTCACCTTCGCAGCTGCCTGCGCAGAGCTGCGATCTCCTCCCCTAGGCGAGCGGAACTCTCCTCTGCAGTCTCCACACTGCGCTGCAGCTTGGCGTTCTCACCAGCCAGGCGCCGGTTGCTGAGCTCTAGATCCTCCAGGCTGCTCAACAGCTCAGCCGTGGCAGGCCTGAGGGCAGCAAGGGCCTGGTCACCAATTTTGCTCCTGCTCCCACTCCCCTCCAGCTTCCTAGGTGGTGCAGTTGCTGGAAGCTAGGAAAAGGGCTCCTCTGAGGACAAATCACAATGAAATTCCAAGGCTCTCCTGAGGCAAAGGCAGTCTCCCAACTCCCACACCCAGAGAGGCTGAAGAAAATGGAATGGGGAGGGGGTGGAAAGGACAGGCACCCCTCAGGCCTGGGGTCTTCTCCTCCAAAGCTCTCTAAGTTGGCTGGCTCCTCAGCTTCTGGGCATGCTAGAAAGAGACAGATAAAAGGAGGTTGAACTTTCTGGTGGTTTTAAATGCTGGGATGTCCAAGGACCCTGGGGTTGTCCCAGGACTAGCCTACCAGTTAATTACATAGCTCTGGGTGTGGTTTCCCAGGGCTGAATTTACTCTTACTACATAGGCTGCTTGCTCATGTCTATCTGGAGCTCAGCCTGGTCTTCAGAACCAGTCACCAGGGATACCTCCACTGCCCCAAGCCCACTCCTCTCCTGTTCCCAGCTTTCTCCAAGTCTATGGTACCTCAGGCCCTTCTCACTAACAGTCAGTCTGTCATTGGTTGGAGTTCAGCCAGTTTGACTGTAAGCTCCACTGCATCTGTCCTCACTCTACCTTTCTCTGTCTCCCTGCGTACTCCCCAGCCTTTGCCTCAGCTCCTTTCTCTCTTTCCCTATGAGACTTAGATCTGGCCCACCCCAGCTGTTCAAAGTCCTCCCTGGCCCCCAAGACTGAAGATGTCTTAAGGTTCAAAAGAATGCCAAAAGAATGGTGGCACACGCCTTTAATCCCAGCAGTCAGGGTGATCTCTGAGAGTTCAAGGCCAGCTCAGTCTACATAGTGAGTTTCAGGACAGCCAGGGCTATATAGAGGGACCTTGTCTCAAAAAAAAAAAAAAAAAAAGAAAAGAAAAGAGAAAAAACAAAACAAAGAGAATGCCAAGAGAGCTGCATTTCTGTAAGACCACTTTTCAGCAGTACACCTCTGAGATGTAAGGTTCTGGGCACCCAACACCCCAGCATAGGGCTTGGACACAGCTGGGCAGATGCCTGCTCAAAAAGAAAGGAAAGCGGGTGTAAGAGGCGGGGGATGGTGGATGGAACATGAAGTGGGGGAGCCTGGCAGGCCAAGACTGCCCTGTGCCACGTGAAGATTTCAACAGTGTAGGTGCCCCAGGGCCCCTCAGCTGGAGGGCAAGAAGGTTACTCTCTTTTATACTAGGGCTGGAACTGGGAGGGATAGAAAACCTGACCCCAAAATCTAAGATGAGGGGACTGTCCTAGAGGCACCAGAAAGCCACCACAGCTGCAGAGCAAGCAAAGGCCCCAGTTCTCTTTAGCCCTTGCTGTGTGGAGCGGGTAGATGAGAAGTCCCTGCTAACCCCCGCTGACCCCTGCCACCCATCTCCTTCTATAAATAGTCTCACCAGATGGCAGGTGTGGAGAAGCCAGGGCTCCCCTGAAGGCGGTCTCCTCTGTCTGCTCTAATCCCCTGTATCAAAGGCAAGAGGCTCAGGTCCCCTGCAGCCACCAGACCCATGACCTGTGCCTGCAGGGGTCTGAGGGATGAAGGGAGGGCAGTTGGGTGAGAGTGGCTCTATGGGAGAAGGGTGAGGCCAGATGGCAGGGCCTGGGCTGTGAAGGGCAGCCCTTTCTACTCCCTTCTAGTTCTACTTGGACCCCTGCACCATCATACAAGGCATCTGGTCTCCAGACACCTTTACCCCTCCGCATCTTTTCACATGTCTTTCCTTAGTCTCAAGCCAGCCACTCGGGGTTCCTGGGCCTTACTGGTATTGGCTGCAGATCAGTTTTGAAGAAACACTTCCCCCTGAGAGGCTGGTGGTGTAAGGACTTACCCCTGCAGCTGACAGGCAGCAATCCAGTCCCGCATGACCACCAGAAAGGTGTCCAATTCCACAGTGGCTCCAGCACCCTCCCCGTAAGGGTCCAAGCTTTGGGCCAGTGTTTGGAGGCGTACATCCTGGGGGCCTTGTCCTGTCACAGCCTCCAGATAGGCCAGGAGGTGGGCCACAGAGACAGTGCCTGGGACAGAGCATGGTGGGGAGGACCAGACTCGGCAATGGCCAGCAGGACAAGGACATGGCTTGGGAATAGTGTCTGTCATCAATGGGTTGATGACATGCCCACCCTATAGCATGCAGAGTCACCTGAGGCAAGTCCCTCCCCTGAGTCAAGTTTTCCAGTCCATCTCAGAATGGACCAGAGAGGATGAGGAGCCATGGCAGCACCTACTGCTGCCTGCTACCTACTGCAGGCCAGAGGCTACCTACCAGGGCCACAAGCCCTTCCTACTCCAGCCCCTTCCTCATGTCACTATTCTGCTCCTGTAGGACCCTCCAAAGGAAAGCCATAGATAGCCCAGCCCTCCCCATGGCTCCCCAGCCCCCACCTGTCTTGTGAGGGTCACAGGCTTCAAATGTGGAGTTAAGGATTTGTTCTTCTAGGCTGAGCAGTGGTTCGGAATTCACTTCCTCAGGCTGCTCCCAGAGGTACACTGTAAGAAAGAGGACCCACCCTATATGAGGAGACACCCAGGATCTAGATGCCTAATGCCAGGCTCTGCTGAGTTGGGGGAAATTTTATTCAGAGCTACCTGTGGTTGGGACTGGTGAGGGAAAGCAGGAGGCTTCCAGTAAGACAACATGAGTGTTTTTTGAGTCACTGCCCTCAAGTAGGTCCCATCTCTCAGGCTAGGGAGTGCCCCCTACTGTCTATCTAATATTTTGTATCCAAGTGGGCTCAGAAGCCGTTAATGAGCTCCGAGATGACCCTCACCTCCTCCCTTCTGCAGCCTCCCAGCCTATGGGCAGGGGGGACCAGGCTTGAGGAAAGCAAAGACGAGCCAGGATGAAGGTGGCTGAGAAGCCAGGAACAATCCGATAAGGCGTGGGCAGCCTGCATCGATCCCACCAGCCATAGCCCTTCTTCCACTTGCCCCAGGGACCAAGTCTCTCCTCTCCACATCCTCAGCATGGCGTCATCACTGGAGGAGCTCAGTCAGGGCCAGTACCAGGATGAAGAGGAGGGATGGGGCTGTCTAAGCAGGGCTGGCAGGGGACTGCTTAGGAGCTGAGCCTCCCACCAGACTCCCCTGAGTCAGCGCTCCACAGCATGTCTGTGGCAAGCTTATTCTATGGGAGCTCTGTTTTCATGCCAATAAAATCCCCCTCAAGAGGACTGAGAGGGTTGCTCTGCCCACGTATGTGAAGATGTACCTGCATGCATCTGTGTGTGTGTGTGTGATATGTTCAGGGTGTGTGCAGTGTGTAGTGTTTATGTGCATGTGTGTCTATGTATGTGGTGTATGTCTGTCTATAGATATGTATGGTGTGCATATATGTATATGTGCAAATGCAGACTGTTTACGTGTTCGCATATGTATGTGTGTGTGCCTGTCTTCCAGGGTCTGCTGGCCTGCAGCTATATTCACACTGCATGAATACAGCAGACAGTAAACAAAGTTTCTCCAAGCTGGAGGCGGCTTTCATACCCCTCACTGGCTGGCCTGCTGAGACGAGTGCTGCTGCACATGGCTGCGTGGTCAGAGTCTGAGCTGGGCTAGAGCGAAGCAACCTGTCATGTCCTTGTTCCCCCACCTCATCCCCCCCCTTCAGCAAGCTCAGCTCTCAACTTCTGAGCTTCAGCAGTATCCTTAGGAAAGCTACCTCCGTCCTAGGGAAAGATGGGAAGAAGTGTGGATGGGCCTCCACTTGGCACATAACTACAGGCACTTACAGGGCCTTGGAACCATGTAACTGCTGTTCCTACAGCTAAGGAGGCAGAGGCATCAGAAGCTGCCACGGCTGCCTTCAGCAGAGTCCCCTTCTCACCTGGACACTTCCAAGGGCTCTTGACCCCACTTTGACTTGGACCTTTATGGCTCCCAGGAGAACATTCAGGACCCAGGCTAGTTAGGGAGGTGGACTTCAGCCGGACAACTGCTACATAGTCCCTTCCCAAGATCCTGAAGAAAGACACTTTCTTCATGTCCCAGCTCTGCCCCTCCTCTACCCTTTTTTTTCTTGCTTTTTTTTTTTTTTTTTTTCTTCAAGACAGGGTTTTTCTGTGTAGCCCTAGCTGTCCTGTCACTGTGTAGATCAGGCTGCCCTTGAACTGAGAGATCTGCCTGCCTCTGCCTCTGAGTGCTGGATTAAAGGTGATTGTTACCACAGCCCAGCTCTACTTTCCTTCTGGACTTTTCTTCCCATTTTCACCCCAACTTTCTCACATGTCCAGCTCTGTCCTGTGTCCCTCAATCCTGTTTTCTCCCACCTTCCACCTTGTCACTCTGTTCCAAGCGTCTTCTCTCTCCTTTGCTGTCCCTGTCTTTCAGCCCTTGCTTTTCCATGTGGGTGTATTCTTCCTTTCCCTTTTGCAGTCTCAGGAGTTGACCTGGCTATGGTCATAGTTCCTGGTGGCTGCACGCCCTCTGCTGGTGCAGGTGAGGTTTAGGAGGCAGTCATCCCCCAAGCCAGCCAGCCTTCTCTAATCTTGGCATGCTGCCTGTAAAACCTTATTTGCACCCCTGAGGCTGGGGTGCAGAGCTCAGCTTTAAATCAAAGCTGCAGGCCCACCTGTGAACATTCAGGAGCCTGGAAGACAGGGTGTTCTTGCATTGACTGTAAATACCTATGTAAAGGCAGGAACTTCCTACCCCATCAGACTGGCTCTGTTAGCATATTGTCAGGAGATGGAGACAGAGGAAGAGTCTGGGACAGTGGAGGAAAGAGAGACAGAGATAGACAGGAACAAAACAGAAGTGAGGAACACAGAGGCAGAGGCTGGCCTGTAGGAGAGGGGCAGTGAGCCAACACCTTCCTCCCCAAGCTATGTGTGATGGCTCCCACACCCACGTGTCTGCATCTGCCCAAGATGAAGCAGGCGTTGCTTTGGGGCAGCAGTATCAGTGGGCAGAGGCTGGCTGCACTGGCTTCGTCTGCAATTGAGCAGGCCAAGCTGGAACAAAGTGTCTGTTAGTGTAAAGCACATACTAGTTCTTAAAGATGTCTGAAAACACAGGATAACTCAGCAGAAAACAGAGTCTGTTAAATAAAAGCAGCTAATGACACTTGCATCACCTGCTTGATTTGACCTTGAACTTTCTATCTTTGTGCCTCAGCCCCCCAGTTCCAGGGCTACAGGCGTGAGCTCCTCATCACATTTTCTCTCTCTCTTTTGAGACAGGGTTTCTCTGTGTAGCCCTGGCTGTCCTGGAACTCACTCTGTAGACCAGGCTGGCCTTAAACTCAGAGATACGCCTGCCTCTGCCTCCCAAGCGCTGGATTAAGCTGTGTGCCACCGCAGCCCAGCCAGCTTGTCTCTTTTAAAAAATTAAAAGGGTCAAGTTCAAGACAGCCAAGGCTACACAGAGAAACCCTGTCTCGCAAAACAAAACAAAAATTAAAAGTTACACATGTGAGCTGAGCATGGTGAAGCACACATATGCAGTGTCAGCACTCAGAAGGCTGAGTTAGGAGTGAAGAATTCAAAGCCAGACCATCTCAAAAACAAAAACAAAACCCAGAGATAGGGACACACCTCAGTAGTGACTGGTTGCCTTGCACACACAAAACCCTGGATTCCATTTCTTACATTGTGCGTGTGTATTTGTACACATACAGACACACATACAAGAGTGGATCACATTCTCCATACCCCAGGGGAGCCTTAGACTAAGCAGGTGGTAGACAGATGCCAGTGTTGGGAAGAGAAGTGCAGCAGGAGGGACAGAGGTGACAAGGCACCTGTTTTACCCAAAGTAAGAGGTGGATGTACACCGTGTAGAGCCCTCTGTCCCAAACAACCCTCCAGAGATGGGGACAGACATGTGGCCAGCACACAACTGACACTTTTTGCCCACCCAAACATCGCTCCTGTTCCCAGCCTGACCCACAGATCCCTTTTCCTCTCCCAGGCAGACACCTACTTTGTGCAGAGGGACCACGAGCCTCACCCTCTGGCAGGTCCATGGGCCACTCCTGCTGCTCTACAGCTGCTGGCGAAGCTCTCAGGTTCCTTCCACTGCTAGGAGGGTTGGCAAAGGGGCAGGCTGCCCAGATAGCTCCTAGAAGGACAAGCAGAGATGGCTTCCTCAGACTAGCCATGCTTGGTCTGGACTCAACTGTTCCATCTCTGCCACAGGCCCTCAGGGTTCTCAGAACCTGTTTGCCATCCCCATCCCAACTCCAAACTGTTTTTATGGATTTGAGGTGTGGGATGGCAACCTGAGGACTAAAGAGCAGGCAGCAAGATCAAAGTGGAAGGGAAGAGGGTGGGGTCAACTGCTGCCCCTGGGGCTTGTGGCTACCTCTCCTCCCCATAACCTATCAAATCGCCACTCCTGTCCACCATGTGCTCTTCTTCCTCACAGCCCTACCTAAGGCCCACCTTGTTCTGTGTGGGCCATGTTCCTCCCAGGTTCCGGTCCATCCCCACAGGCTGCAGTTTTGACCTGCCTGGTCATGACTTCCTTGGGTCAGAGCCTGTTTAGGTCTAGCAACAGAAGCACAGTGTGGCCTGGGCCAGCTGCTTTCTCTCCCCAAATCATGCTTTGTTTTCTAGCAACTCTGACCTACATGCTATTTTGTAAGCTGGACTGCTGTTTCATGTGGTTTCTGTCTGGGACTCTTTCTTCCTACCTCCTGTTCTCTAGAAACATCTCTCACTCCACCTGGAGCCGAACGCCAAGCTGAACAGGCTTCCTTATTGCTAGGAGGTAGCAATACTCCTAGCAATAAGCAATACTCCTACTCCTTTGATACTGTGTTTGGACTGCTGGTCTTTGAGCACTTTTAGCCTTGCTCTCCTTTGCTTCCAATCACTTTTTTAAAAAAAGATTTATGTGTGAGTGTTCTATCTGCATGTATACCTGCATGACAGAGAGGGCATCAGATCCCAGTATAGATGGTTGTGAGCCACCACCATGGTTGCTGGGAATTGAACTCAAGACCTTTGGAAGAACAGACAGTGCTCTTAACCATTGAGCCATGTCTCTAGCCGCACCTTCAGTCACTTTTATCACAGAGCCATACCGTCCATCTCTTGCTGGCGGAGTCTAGGTTACTGCTCTACTGCTGACCGCACCCCAGTCCCCAGTATGAATTCTACACAGGTGCTCTGTTGCTAAGCTACACCCTAGCCCTAAGATGGCCAGGCTCACCTTGATTTGTGATCTCTTTGCCTCAGCAGGAATGTGCACCATCAGGACTGCTTCCTTGGCCCCCCCCCCTTTTTTAAGGTTTATTTTTATTTTATGTGAATTCTTTGTCTGCATGTGTCTCTGGTACCCATGGAGGCCAGAAGAGGGCATCAGAGCCCCTGGAACTGGAGTTAGAGATGGTTGTGAGCTGCCCTGCGTGTTCTGGGAATCAAAACTGGGTCATTTGCAAGAGTAGTAAGTGTTTCAGTATTTCAATAATTTTTTTCTCTTTCTTTTCCAGACACTCTGTGTAGCCCTGACTGGCCAAGAACTCAGGATTCTACCTGCTTCAGAGTGCTGCGATCTCCTCATCCCTTACTCTCTGTGGTCCTGGGACTCAGAATCATCTTAGGCTTGCTGCTCCCTGGTTCCCCAGCTCCTGAGGCCTGTTCGTATCTGAGGGCTTACTCTCACAGGCGGTTATGGTCACAGGGACTCCCTCCTCTGCACCCTGACAGTGCTGTCTTGCCTCTCTTACAATCATGTCAGCCAAAACAAGTCCCGTTTAAGAGAAAAGGAGGCATGATCAGTAACTCCTCCAGGGGCGAGGCAATAGTGCACCCGAGGCTGACAGGGCACCTGGGCCAAGAGACAGAGGGTTTGGGTTTCCACCGGCCTGACTCTCCTTTTCTCATGAAATGCAATCGGCACTGCTTGCTTTGTATTCCATCAGCTGCACGTTTTCTGGAGACATTATTTTTTGGCTTTTGGAGACAGGATCTCATTATGTAGCTGTAGCTTCAGTGGGCCTCTTGTGTAAACCAGGCTGGTCTTCAGCTAGTGGTCATCCTCCTGCTGTCCACCCCAGCTGCTTTTAGAAGGCAAGGCACCCGGGAGGAGAGATAATTTCAAAGACTCAGGAACACAGAGGGAGGAAAAGGGACAAGGGGAAAGGATCTCTTGAACTTGGACAAACTTTTGAGGAACGAAGGACATCAGGTTGCTGGTGGGTGTCTGAGGGGCCTTGGACATGGGTAGGTCCCCAAACTAAAATTCAAGAGCTGCATTTCTGGGGTGTCACTAGATTTCAGGGTCCCCAGTAGAACTTATAGGGGCTTCAGTTCAGATTTCTAGAGTATCAATTAGGACTTGAATACAGAATCTCCACCAGGATTTTTATAAGAAAAGCCTCTCACAGGTTTGAGAAATCTGAGGGGATATCTAAAAGATTCTAGTTGATGGCACCTGTGATGCCAAGCACTCTCGAGGCCGAGGCAGCAGGACCCAAGTTTTGAGTACCAGGGCATACAACACCCTCTTCTGGTCTCTACAGGCACATACCTGGTATGCATACACACATGCCAGGAAAACATAAAAAAATACACACACAAACCAAAACAGTAAGCTAGGAGGTGGTGGTGTACAGCTTTAAAGCCAGCACTCAGGAGATAGAGGCAGGTGAGTTCACAGCCAGCTAATTCCAGGCAGGACAGTCAAGGCTACAGAGAAACCCTGTATCAAAACCATATACCTGCCCCACCTACAAAATCAAAACCAAACCTAACGTTAGGTTTCTAACGTTCTGGAAGATTGTGGCTGGGCGTGGCTGGGAGAGCTTTAATCCTAAAACTGAGGCATGAGGGTCACAAGTTCGTGGCCGGCCTGGGCGACGCGGGAGCTTGTCTCAAACAACAACAACAACAACAAACACAAAACAAGCAACAAAAAGCCACCCGAAGTTTCAAGATTCCGACAGGATTTCCAAAGTCGCCACTAAACTTTCCCGAGGGAGCAGGGCCTGGTGGCGCACCAGCCTGTCATCCCCGCCGGGAGGCAGCGGCTCTCGCGCGTTCCAGGCCAGGCGAACAAGTTTCCACAGCCGAGGCTGCGCCAGACACCCTGCTTCAACCAAGACAACACTTCCCGAGGGCTCCTTCACGCGCTCCGGGGGGGCTTGGTCAGAACTCGGGCGGTTTTGGACGGCGGGCGGTGTCTCTGGGGCCCTGCCACGGAAGTCGCCACAGGCAGGCGTACCTGGTCGGGACTCTCGGGACACAGCTGAGGGAAACCAGCGACGGACGGCGGTTGAGGACAGCACAGGAGAGGCGTGCTCGCTCGCACTTCTCCCGCCAAAAACGCAAATGAGCGGGCCTCCTTCAAGTCCCGCCCCTCGCGGGCTTTTGTCTCCACGCAAGCGCACACCGGGTGGAAGGCGCCAACCGCTCCCCTTACCCTGAACCCTGCGGTCGCGCATGCGTAGAACTTCCCGAGAGGCTCGCCTTGACCAGAGGATTGAGCGCATGCTCACAGGTGGAGCTAGCGGTGATGCTTGGTTATCTGCTGAGCTCTGCTGTGGTACAGGATCCTTCCCATCCGCTTGGCGAAATCGGCCCAAGCGGGGTAGAGTTCAACGGAAGAACCCTCTGTTCACCCCTCTCTTTTTGCCTGTCACCGTCACAATGAAGCATAGCCTGGTCCAGCCTCACTTCCGCTCCGTGCCATGTGGCATTAATCCGTACCCAAGCTGCTTTTCCAAACAATCATTTACTTTCTTATTTATTGAGGTTGGCAGCGGACTTGAAGCAATCATCCTGCCTCTGCCCATCACTCTGAGCTACTCAAACTTTCTCATTCATGAGGAAGGAGGGACATACAGCTTTATTTTTGTTTTTAAGTGGCAGTAGAGAGGGAGTGGGTGATCAAACTGACTCGCAAGGATATTTGGAACAGAAGACTACAACCTCTCATCCATTTGTTACTTCAGAAAACGTGATCCTCTTACACTTTCCATCTCGTCTCCATCTGCTTACACTGTTTAGGGTCCAGCACGTAGTAAAGTCTATTTGTGAATGTCATTCTCAGGCTTCATTTCTGTATGCGCTCTGCAAAACGGGCATTAAGGACATGGCCTGGTGTTTAACATTGCTTTGTTAAGTCGGGCGTGGTCAGCACACAGGAGGCAGGGACAGGAGGATGGAGGAAAATGAGGCTAGCCTGGTCTACGTAGTCCTAGACTGGCCAGGATAACAGTGAAATAAGGCTGGCGAGATGACCGAGTAAAGCCCCTTGGCAGACCTGAGAGGAATCCTCAGGACCCGCGTGGTGGGAGGAGACCCTCTGAAGTCCACGTGTATACCATGCCGTGTGTGCACCTTTCCACCCCTTGCCATTTCAAAACACAGAAATGTAGCTAATGATAAGGAGCTGGACATGTACCTCAGCTGGTACAGTGTTTGACTAAGGTGCCCTCATGAATTGGGCATGGTGTACCAGCACTCAGGAGCGAGAGGCGAAAAGTTCAAGGTCTTTTTCAACTTATATGAGACCATCATGTGCTGGTTAGTTTTTTGTTACCTTGATAAAAGCTAGGGCCATCTGGAAAGAGTAAACAACTCGGAAAATGTCTTGTCAGATTGGCCTGTAGGCAAGTCTATGGGGATATTTTCTTGGTTAATGAGTGATGGGGAAAGGCCCAACCCACTGTGGGCAAAACCACCCGGGAAGATAGGAAAAAGCTAAGTGAGCCATGATCTTCAGTGCCTGCTTTGAGCTCCTGCCTTGACCTCCTGAAGTGACAGGATGTGAGCTGAGGCTTGTGAGATGAAGTAAACCTGTTACTCCCCAGCTTGACTTCCTGAGGTGATAGAATGTGAGCTGAGGCTTGTGAGATGAAGTAAACCTGTTACTCCCCAACTTGGTTTTGATCATGGTGTTCATTTATCACAGAAGAAGAAAATAAACTAGGACACCTGGTCTTGGGGGGTGGGGGAAAGGCATGCCAAGCGTTTTCAGGACAGGTTGTGGTGCGTGGTGGACCCTGGTAGCTTTGTCAGCATTTATCATTCTTCCTGGCAGTGATTAAAAGCAATGGATGTTTTCCCAGAAGACCTGGATGAATACTCAGCACCAACATGGCCCCTCACAAGGTCTGTAACTCCATGCCCTGCAGAGGAGATGCCACACACACCAAACACTCATACACATAAATTGAAAATATTAATCTTTCAATATTTGTTTTACTTTTTGAGATCTTGGGTTATTTTGTAAAATCTCAAAAATATATTGTTGTAGCAAATATAAAATACAGTAATAATGTTTAATATTAAATAGCCTATAATTATTGCAGCGGTATTTATCTAACCCACTATCAAATCAATAAACACAGATACCTGATATTTTAGAATAGCCTTATTTTACTTAGGGTTGGACAGATAGATATTAACCCCTAGGCTACCTAACTACCTTACAACCCCCATCCCAAGCCATCTGCTCTAATCATTCTTATCTGGGCTACTTCCTAGTCACAATCCCAAAATACTTGCTTATGCTCTTCATTTGGGTAGGCTGCTTCTCTCCATGTGGAAAGTTCCTCCTCTCAACTCTCTGTCCCAAAACGACTGTGATCTTGCTTTTCCCTCTGGTCCTGTCTCTCCTGTGAGCCTTCTTGTCCTCAAAAGCCTGAGAATCTTAGCTCCATCTCTTCCTTCTGTCCTGCCCAGGTATAGGCCTTTGATTTAGCCAATCAGGAATAATATCTTAGGCAAGGTTACACATGTCATTTTGGGGTACTTGAGTGTCTTCTGGTAAAAGATAGCAAGAAGACCCCGGGAGCAAAATAATTAACATTAGAATACTTAACACCAGCCTAACCCCAACAATCTATTTTGGTGGCTGCGATGGCTCACCAGGTAGGATACTTTAAAAACCTGGGACAGGCTGGATCAAAGGCTTCAGTACCAGGTGCATCATGGTGCCATAGGAGACCTAGTTGCCCAACTAAGAGACAATGTTCTGAATGAGATGTAGGCAAGAGCTGGCACAGAGCTCCATTCTCAGAGCTAAGTGTCAGAGGGAGTAGCTACAGTTAGCATACAGGCAGCCTGCCTCTAGGTTGCTCAGCAACCTGTGACATCATAAGCTGTTGCTTGCCAGGGGCCTGGGATAAAAGACCCCCAGTTTCTCTCTCTTCTGCCTTAATTTCTTTCCCCTCCCTGCTCTCTCTTTCTCTCTTGGGGGGGGGGCTGCCATCCCCTATTTTTCTTCTTCTATGCTCTCTCACTGACCTCTCTCTCTCTCCAACCCAGTACAATAAATCTCTTCATTCCAGATCTGTTGAATGGCATTTTTTTTTAAAAAACATATTATTACAGCTACTCTGGCCTGTTTGGGAACAGATGCCAAAAGGAGATAGTGCTAGATGTAAGAAAAACTTTATTTCCATATGGTGCTGGGGTAGGGTATGGGACATGCAGGGGCATCTGGTTCCCACCCTATAGCTGCTGGGATGGCCTGAGGATGTAGAGAAAGTGTGTCTTTCGGATAGGCACCTTGACATGTTGTGGGACATGGACCCCTTCCTCCAGGTTGCCCTCATGGGAGCCTCCACGAAGCCCATCCCGGATGGCCTGCAGGCGATGTCGTTTTTCTATGAGCCAGCGACTCCCATCCTGGACATCTGGCTGGGTCCTCCGCCTCGGCATCTTCATGATCCAGAAAGCCACCCGCCTGGGCTCTGGATGCAAGCTGTCTGTGGCTCTCTGCTCGGGCACCAGCGTCTCTTTCTCCGCCACTCTGGGCACCTGTGAATGAGGCACAGGTAGATCCTCAAATGCCACACAGCACATCCAAGATGCTTGGTGGCTGTGGGGCCACCTCAACCTACATCTCAGCTTGCTTAGTACTTTTAGGTTAAAAAAACCCTTTTTGGGGAGACAGTTCTGTTTTCTGTCTGCCGTGCTGCATTCTTTGTGTAGTAAAATTTGTTTTTTTATTTATTTTTAAAGATTTATTTATTTTTATGTGCACTGGTGTTTTGCCTGCATGCATGTTGTGAGGGTGTCAGATACTATGGAACTTGAGTTACAGAATTGTGAACTACCATGTGGCTGGCTGGGAATTGAACCCAGATCCTCTGGAAGAGCAGTCAGTACTCTTAACCACTGAGCTATCTTTCTAGCACCCAAATCTGGTTGTTTTGAAACTTCCACAGTTGCCCTAGAGCTTTATTTTACTGTGTATCTCCACGGGTGTGTCTGAGTGTTAAATATGTGCACCACTTGTGTGCATTAGTCATGCCCTTGCAGAGGGTACTAGCTAGAGTCCCAACACCCATGTCAAGTATCTTACAGGCTCCTGTAACTCCAGCCCTAGGGGCTCTCACACCCTCTTCTAGCCATTGTGTTCATCTGTGCTCATATGCTCACACAATTTTTAAAACTTAAAAAAAGGAAGCACACAAACATTAGCTGAGTGGTAAAGATATGTCTTTATAGCCAGCACTCAGGAGGCAGAGGGCAGCCTCGTCTACAGAGTGAGTTCAAGGCCAGCCAGGATGATATAGTGAGCCCTGTCTCAGGAACACTAAAAATAAAAAATAGATAGGTGGAGAGCTAATAAATAGGAGGATTGAGGGACACAATACCTACTTGGGCATTCTCCTTTGTGAACAGAAGCAGACACACAAACCCAAACAAAACCAAAACAAAACCTCCGAGATGTGACCTGTACTTCTGGGACTGGTGGAGTTTCTGGAATGAGCAAAACACTTTCTTTTACACCTGTTTTCTTTGGGGGATTTTTTTAAAATTTTTTTTTGAAACATGGTTTCTTTGACAGCATTGGCTGTTGTGGACTTAATTTGTAGTCCAGGCTGGCCTTGAACTCACAGAGATCCATCTGCTTCTACCTCCCAAGTGCTGGGATTAAAGGCGTGCTCCACTGCCTGGCTACAAGTAGAGTTTTTGTATTTGTCTGGAGGCAGGATCCTGATATGTAGCCCTGGATGGCTTCTTGCCTAAAACTGGAAATGATCCTGCCTCAGCCTTTCAGTACTGAAAACCTGTCGCCTCGTCCCTTTTGACATGTCACACTGAGTCCCAGATTTTAAGGGTATTCCATGTACAGAGTGTGCGCTGGCTAATTTTAAATGCCAACTTGCCTCAGTCTAGAACCACCTGGGAAGAGAGCCTGAATGGGGGATTAACTAGATTGAGGTTGTTATGGTGTAGATATTACCAGACCCAGACTATTATGGGCAGAACTATTCCCTAGTTAGGTTTTGAACCACCACAGGGCAAGGCAAGGAAAGATGCCCCAGACAGTAGAAATGATGCTGCAAGTTCCCCTAAGTGATGGACTGTACCCCAGAGAAACCCCTTCTTTCCTACACTGCTTTTGGCTAAAGTATTTCGTTACAATAACAGAAAAGAAATTGGAAGAGTATGGCATGCTGGAATTCCTTAACTGTAGAAAAATGCTGGTTCCTGGATACCTGGGGGCAAGGTAGGTCCTTACCTTCCAGTCACCTTCCTGGTTCCTTTCTGGTTCGATGGACGCCACCACCTTCTCAGAGAAGAGCACCTCGCCTGTCTTGTTGTCAGTCATCTGTGAGGGTTATATAAGAGAGAACAAACCTGCCTTCCTTCCTCACTTTCCTCTCTTCTGTCAGGTAGAGCAGCTTGATGTTAGGAAGGACTGCCTAGTGTGGTACCTTGTCTATCTGCAGGTGGCTGGAGAGGGTATGGTTTCCCATTCTGTGCTCCTGGTTCTCTTCCTGATGGAAGTTCCTAGGAAGGTCCCGGAAGTCCATGGGAGAGGAGAAGAAGTTGTCCAGGTCTCGTAGAAGGTCATCCTAGGGTCAGAGGGAAACAGTGGGTACGCTTGCTCCCCTTCCAGTCAGTCTCATTCCTTTCCCCTTCAGTCCTCTAATCCCCAGAGGACTGCCACCATACCCTATCTGTCTTTCTGTCCCAATACCTTGCTGTTCCTGCTTCTTGCCTATCCCGGCTTCCACCTCTCCTCCTCTTCTCTCTGCCCCTTACCCCACAAATACTAGTCAAGCCCTGCACTCCCTAACTGTACCCTCAGAACCCCTGCTTGGGTGCTCTACCTCTGAGCCACACCCTCAGCCACTACAACCCCAGCCCTCTTTTTATTTATTTATTTTGACTGGGTCTCACTAGATAGCTCTGGCTGACCTGGATGGAACTTGATATGCAGAACAGGCTGGCCTCAGATTCACAGATGCCATGACTCTACCTCTCAAGCCAGGTCACCAGGCCTGGCTTTCTTTACTCTTTGCCAGAGTTTGAGTAAAGCTGCCTAGGCCAACCTTGAACTTTTTTTTTTCTCACGTTGGAGTTTCATGTGAGATACGGCCACATCCAGGGCCTGCTATCTGGGATGATGGGCTTTCAGCCCCAGGCCCAGCTTCTCTTCCAATTTGGTGTTGTCATGTTCCCCGTCTTCGGTCTGTTTATCACCTTACAGCCCTGCTTTTCTTTGAGACAAAGTCTCATGTATCCCAGGCAGGCCTCAGACTTCCTATGTAGGGGAAGGCGGCTTTGGACTCCTGTTCTTCCTGCCTCCCCCTCCTGAGTGCTGGTATAACTGGTGCCGGGAATCAAGCCTAGCACTTTGTACATGCTAGGCAACCACTCTACCATCCGACACAACTCCAGCTCTGTCTGTTGATTCCTTTTCTTAACTGTCTCCTGCCCTGATCCATCTCTCTGTCCCATCACTCACTTTTAGGAACAGTCGGCTAAAGCTTTGGAGAAGACTCTGAAGGCCCAAAAAGCCGGAGGAGCCCTCCTGAGGGTCGGCGTCATGGATCGGGGCAGCAGAGGACGCCACGAAGGCCGAGGGGAGCAGCAGCAGCAGGACACCCAGTCGACACATTGCGGGTGGTGGGAGGCTGTAACAAGGGTAAGTTCAGATTCCGCAGTCACTACTCTGTGGTCCCTTCCCAGGCCTTCTCTCTGTGAAGGCCCCGCCCACCTGCTTCCCTTGGATTCTGTCGACACTCTCCAGTTCAGGCGCTGCTCCTCCGGGTTAAGCCTCACTCAGATCCCGTTCCTCACCTTTGCCTACATCCGCGCCTTCTCCTGGACGACAGGTCGGCCACCCGGCTCTGGACACCGCTGGACACGGACAGTTGATATCCAGTTCTGGCCTCGAGCCTGAGCAGATTACTGGAGCGTTGGTTGGCCGCACCGCTCTGCGAGACTGGCCACGCCCCAATCGCCTCGCCACGCCCACCTCCCGCCGGCCGCTTTGGAATCTTCAGTCCACCGTCACACCTGTGGCATAGCCACACCTCTATTGTTTATTAACCACACCTCTTAAACCAGAGCCTTAATGAATGAACCACTCCCCAACCTAGTGACTTTACCCACGAACCAGACATTTATTCTACGTCATGCCAGAGGGACACCCTTTCTTTTTCGGTTAACAACATCCTTTGAGTCAGATTTTCCTCTCTGACCCTGCCTCATCAAAGGGGCACGCTCTCTTTTCCTGACCATGCCTCCACTCGCTGACCTACCTAAATTCTCCCTGATTTCTAGAAGATACACGCCTGCCACGCCCCTTAAGGCACAGCCACCTGTCTCCCTGCCCTCGCCCACAGCTGAGAATCATCGGGATGAACTAGGCCTTCTTTCCGACGTCATGCCTCTGCATACATGTTCACGAACTACGTCCCTTAAATCATTAGGTCCTCTCCAGATCACGCTCCTATTCTATAGCCAATCTCTTACCCTCCAACCTTTGTTTCCAGTTGGCCATGCCGTTATCACTGACCTCGGACCCTAGAAACTTCAGTCTTGATCACTTTTCTCTTTCAACTAGAGCAATGACCTGCCCAGGACACGCCTCTGGATCCCAGAACTCATCCCATATCTGGGCCTAAGATAACTTTATTTATTCAGTGTTTGCACATAAGAATGGCATGGTGCAGATGTGGAGGTCAGAGGGCGGCTTTCAAGAGGTGGTTCTGCCTGCCACTGTGTAGACCTCCAGGACCGAACAAGTGCCTTCAGAACCAAGCCATCTGGTTTGCCCTCCCAAAATGACTACCTCTGAGCATTACCGTGGATGTCATATCGTTTTCCAGCTGGTTTCATTTAAGAAGCACAACTGTCTCCAAAAACCCAATTCCAGTCCTGTGTTGTATTTTTCAAGAAACCCAAATCCAAGCTACTCTTTCAGACCCACAAAGCCCATGTGCCAGGCACCCTTGGGTGTGTATTTGTAGCCAGTACCCCCCCCATCGTTGTTTTGGTTTTTAAATTTAGAAATAGGGTCTTATGCATCCTAGACTGGCCTTAAACTATACAGAGGAAGACCCTGTCTGTCTGTGTGTGTGTGTGTGTGTGTGTGCGCGCGCAAACAAGCGACAAGCGGTATGGAAGTCAGATATAACTTTCAGGAGCCTGTTCTCCTTTCCACCATGTGGGAACTGGACATTCAGAAGTTGTCAGGGTTGACAGTAGTGCCTTTTCCCGGAGCTGTCTGTCCAGCCCATAGCCCTGTTTTCTTTCCATTTTTATTTTATTTTATTTTATTTTATTTTGAGACAGGTGTCTCTGTGTAGCCCTGGCAGTCCTAGAACTCCATAGACCAGGCTGGCCTCAAACTCAGAGACCTGCCTGCCTCTGCCTTCTAAGTGCTGAGGTTAAAGGTGTGCACCACCGTCGGGCTGTTTTGGGGTTTTTGTCTGTTTTCTCAGAGAATGTCTGTGCTTTGGTGTGCAGGTTTTGGTTTTGTTTTCTAACCTGACACAGCTGACATAGGCCGGGGTCATCTGGGAAGAGGGCACTTCAGTTTAGAAAATATCCCCATGAAACTGGCCTGTAGGCAAGTGTGCAGGGTACTGTCTTGATGAGTGGCTCATGTTGGGTGGCCCAGCTCCCCGGAGTGGTTCCAGCTCTGGGCCACTGTTCCTAGGTGCTATAAGGCTGAGCAAGTCATGAGGAGTAGGCCAGTGACTAGCACTTCTCCAGAGGTCTCCGCTTCAGTTCCTGCCTCCAGGCTCTTCTTTGGGTTCCTGCTCTGACTTCCTTTCATGATGGACTACCGGTGTAATCTTAAGACAGGCTATTGGTGTTTTTCCTGCATGTCTGTCTGTGTGAGGGAGTCAGATACTCTAGAGCGCCATGGGGGTGCTGGGAATTGAACCTGGGAGCTCTGAAAAGCAGACAGTGCTTTAAAAATATATGTATATATTATTTATGCAGCATTCTGCCTGCATATGTGCCTGTGCGCCAGAAGAGGGCACCAGATCTCAATATGGATGGTTATAAGCCACCATGTGGAATTGAACCCAGGGCCTTTGGAAGGAGAGTCAGTGTCTCTGAACCTTCTCTCCAGCCCCTCAGCTATAGTCTTAAATAAGCCCCTCCTCCCCAAGTTTCTTTTGGTAATGGTGTTTATCACAGAAACAAGACAACAAAAACAAAAACAAAACAAAACAAAAAACCCCTAGAGGATCCAGGCTAGCCCCAACCTCTCAATATATAGAGAGAGATTATAGATGTGTGAATATAGATGAGTGGTATCTTTCTTCCTCAGACCTTCAATTTTAAGACAGCAATACCCAGGACCTTATCTCTGCTCTCAGGCACCCAAGCTCTGTCTCTACCTGGGACAAGGCTGCTTGCAGCCCCTAGTGCCTATGTAATTGTGGAGTCTGCATTTCTGTGGACCTCCAAAAACACTTGGGGTCCAGCCCAAGGCTTCTCTCTGGCCAGGTCACAAGGAAGCAAACAAACCCACCCCAACACCTTATTTATCAAACAGAAACATTGGATGAGAGACAGCTCTGACTCGGACCTTCCCCCAGCCCTGGTGAAGCCCTCGGGTTCTGACCTTCATTTCCAGTTACAGACCCCACCCTTCCACGGCTGAAGAGATGACTCAGTGGTTTAGGGTGCTGGCTGCCCTTCTGCAGGTCCTGGATTTGATTCACAACATCCACACGGTGGACCACAACCGTCTGTTAAGTCCAGTTCCAGGGGATCCAGAGCCCTCTCCTGTATGTATGCATTATGCATACACGCTGACAAAACATACAGATAAAATAACATTTAAACATTTAAAACCAGAATAAAATAAAAAACACATATAAAATTGGTAAGGACTATTTTGTTTCTGTCAGTTCTACATCCTCAGCAGACACATACAGTCCAGGGTGACCCAGGTCACGTCCCCTCCTCCATCTTTCTACTCCCTTCCCTCCTCAACTCCTGGTACTTTTCCCTCAGTCCCAGGATCTAGATCCCAATATTCTCGTTCAGACCCAGAGTTACAGACCCCAGCCAAGGCGTCCAGGCCCCCATAACCACCTCCTCTCCTAGGGACCCCATCATCCGAATCCAGTCCTTAGAAGGGCTGATGTCTCGCAAAGCAAGCACCTCTCCCGGAGTGGGATCCCGAGCCCGCCGCCGGGCCCGCCCCCCCTGCGGTCCCTCCCACTTTTCCCAAACAAAGCTCCCGGCAACTTTCTCCCGGTCTCGCCCCGCCCGCCCGCGGCTCCCCTGCCCAGGCCGGGAGGTAGGAAGGCGCCGGCGGGAATCGGGATCCGGCTTGGGGTGTGTGAGTTGGGGTGGGAAGTTCCGCGCGATGAGGTGAGGTGCGTGTTCCTGGGACCGCGTGGGAACTGCCCGCCGCCCTCTTTCTGCCCTGGGGCCCGAGTTAGCGCTGGGGACGCAGCCGAAATGTTGGAGTTGGAACTTTCTCCCGAGTTAGGGGCCTGGAGCTGGTCTGCGGCTGGGAACGCGCGCGGGACGGCCGGGGCTGGCAGGACGTGGGAACGAAGGCGCGGCCACGGCTCTCCTGTTAGAGCGAGGCACGCGCCTCCCGGGCCATCCTTCCAGCAAGTGTCCGCCCAGTGGGCATGTGGCCCCTCACGGAGCAGGGCAGGCGCGGGGGTGGCCGAGGGAGAGCCACGGGGGCCCTCGGACCTTCGTCCACGGCTCTTCCGAGGATTGGGGACCTGGGCAGGAGATTAGGGATGTCTGTCTTGCTCGGCTCGTCCGTCTCTTTGTCTGGCCACATGGGGGTGGGCTGGGTTGGGATTTCGGCCTACAGGGGTCCTGAACGTTGCTGCGACCTTGGGCTAGGCCTGGGGTCTTTGTTCTAACCTCCACCAGGTCAAGAGTCCAGAGGAGGAGGGGTGGGACTCAGAACTTTGGGGTCCTGGGAAAGTTCTGGAAGAGATGAAACCTCCCGGGAGGCGGTATCGGACTGTATGGGAAAACTTTTCCCTGTTCTTGGCCTCCGGAAAGTCGATGGGAACTTGGGCTGGAGCCGAGCCCGGGGAGGGGGCGGGACCTGCGAGGCCCCGCCCACAGCGGGGGTTGTGGGGAACTGGGGGAGGGGATGCCTGGGCTCTTTGTTCTGTCCTCCAGATGGCTGGGCGACTGAGTCCCAAGGCCTGAGGCTTGATGGGCGCCACGCCCCCGCCTGGTTCTGTGGTTGCTTTCTAGTCTCCATAAAGCACTGACCATGCCCCTTCTCTGTGCCTATCTGGGTCTATGTCCCTGGATCTTTCTGCTCCACCATCTCTCTTCCCCTACTTTCTGGGTCTTGGTGTCGGATGCAACCTCTGCTTTTACAGCAGCTGCTGCTCTCTTCCTAGCACCTGTTCTTTCCTAATGGGTCTGGAGAGTCTCTTCCTGGCAATTAACCAGACTTGGTCTTCTCTAAAATCAGTGATTCCAACACAGCGTTGGGCCAAATGGCCTCAAGCACCATCCTCTGGTGGTCAGGTGACTAACCGAAGGCAGGTTCCTCCGAAAGCTCAGGAAGAACAGCTTACCTGATCCCAGGCGTGGGGCCAGGCCCGGACCCTCTCCCTCAGACCCAGGGATTCAGGTCCAGGCTCCTCCCCTATTCTCGCACCACCACATGTAGCTGGCTGTCTCTGCAGGCCCAGATGGGGGATCCCCGGACTGGGGCCCCCCTAGATGATGGCGGAGGCTGGACGGGCAGTGAGGAAGGCAGCGAGGAGGGCACCGGAGGCAGTGAGGGCGTCGGCGGTGATGGAGGCCCTGACGCGGAGGGTGTGTGGAGCCCGGACATTGAGCAGAGCTTCCAGGAGGCCCTGGCCATCTACCCTCCCTGCGGCCGGCGCAAGATCATCCTGTCAGATGAGGGCAAGATGTACGGTGAGTCCCCCGTGGTGGCTTCCTGATCCCGGTCACACTAACCAACATGTCTAGGGTCTCTAGCCAGCTGTTGTGGCGCACACCTCAAGAGTTCAGGGTCATCCTTAGCCACATACTGAGCTCTACGTTACATTTTTATTATTATTACATTTTTGAGACTCTGTCTCAAAATAATAAAAATGAGGCCAGGTGTGTTGGTGGCAGACATGGATCTCTGTGAGTTCGAGGCCAGACTGATCTACATAGAGTTCGAGGACAGCTAGGGCTATGTAGAGAGACCCTGTCTCAAAAAACCAAAAATCAAAAATAAATAAATAAATAAAAACAAACAAAGAAAAAGACTGTATCCTTTTCATGACTGTAGCATTTTTTCTGGCTAAATGAGGGAAACTGAGGCACAGGAAGACTAAGTGATTTATTGGTGGCCACATAGCTATATGTGGCTATGCTGGTGACCCTGTGGCTGAGGAGTCGTACCCCCCCCCCCAGCCCAGCTTGGCTGTAGTCCAGTAGGGATTGTTGCCTTGCTGACACCCTCATCCCTGTCTTCTCTGGCAGAAAGTTCTGCTGATAGTCTTACTCTTTTTCCATTTTGACTTCTCCAGGCCGGAATGAACTCATTGCCCGGTACATCAAGCTGAGGACAGGGAAGACAAGAACTCGCAAGCAGGTCTCAGGACTGACGCTTTGGGGCTTCGGGCTGGGGCAGGGCTTATCCTGAGGGCCGTCTTTATGTGGGCTGGCTCAGGTTCAAGGCAGATGTGGTTCATGTGATTAGAAAAGAAACAAAGCTTGTATGTGTGGGGGGTATCTGTGCATGTGTGTGCATGGGTGTGTGGAGGTCAGTGTATGACCTTAGCTTCCATCTCAGCAGCTGCCACTACTGTGAGACTGGGTCTCTTGCTGGCCTGGAGCTTGCTGATTTGACCAGACTGGGTAGTCTGTGAGTGCCAGTCTGTACCTATCTTACCCCCTCGTGCTGGAGTTACAGAACTCCGCACACCCAGAACTGAAGTCCTCATGCAGGGAGGGCAGGCTTTACCGCATGAGCACCTTCCTCGCCTGTGGCTCATGTGGTTTCCCACATGTTGTGGGCATGCCAGATATAGCTGTAAAATGTTTATATTACATGCCTGTAAAATGGCTCAGTGAGCAAAGGGCCTTGCTGCTAAGCCTGATTGCCTTAGCTCAATTCCAGGGACCCACGTGGTAGGAGAACTCTGCCTGTGCACCGTGATGCACTTGAACCCACCACATACATAAAATGTAATTCAGGAAGTTTGAAGTACATTTTTTTGTTGTTGTTTTACATTTGTTCGTGTGTGTGTGCCTGTGGCCATGTGCCATGGGATACATGCAGAAACATTTAGGAGCTGGTTCTCTTCTTCCACCATGTAGGTCTCAGGGATGGAACCCAGGACATTAGGCTTGGTGTCCAGTGCCTTTACCTGTTGAGCCATCCTGTCAGGCCTGATATTTCTGTACAAGGCTTATTCCAGAGACTGAAAACCCAAGAAGGAAGGACAGGAGGGGCCTGGGCCTACAGGGTCAGGCTGTATTCCCTGTGGAAGAACAACATGTGCAGCTACGGGGAGAAAGGGAAGGGTGGGAGACAGAGGGTGGAGGACGGGGCCCAAACTTCCTTCTCATCCCTCCAGGTCTCCAGTCACATCCAGGTGTTGGCTCGAAGGAAATCGAGGGAAATTCAGTCCAAGCTGAAGGTGAGGGTAAAGGCAGGCATGGAGGGGGGCTGGGTGGGCATATGGAGAGGTGTGAGAGAGACAGACATATGGGGAGATATAGAGAGGGACTCAGATAAAGAAGGGTGACAGTGACTCAGGGAGAGAGAAACACATACAGGGGAGGTGGGGCCCAGAGTCAGTGAAACAGACAGACAGGTATGCACCCGCACTTACTGATGGAGGGAATGGGAGGACAGAGACCCAGAGAGAGAGAAAGAGAGAAGTGCACGGGGGCCAGAGACCCTGAGAAGAGTGGCCTGGGCGCAGGTCTGCTCACTGAGTGGAGTTGGTGTGCGTTTGGCTCTGACAGGCCTATCCCCCTCTGCTAAAGCCCTTCCCTCCCACTGTGCCTGTTGGTTTCCTTTCTTTCCTCTGTGCTTCTCTTTCATTCTTGCCTGTCTTGGCCCAAATGCATGCTTTCCTGTGAGAGAGTATACTGTATATTCTTCTCCACCGTAAGTCCCCTGTGCCCTGCAGCCTGAACTTCTGTCACTGTCCCTCTGTGTGTGACTTCTTTTCTTTTAGCCTCCAGGGTGGTTACTTCCTGTTCTTTTACCTGAAAATGGTCCCCTTCCTTTTCTGTAGGTCTCAAACCCTCAAGTTCCTGTCTTTTCTGTTCTTTCTCAGTCCCCTCGGTGTTCTGTGAGGAATACGAAACACCCCCTTCCTGTTCCCATTTCCTGTAGTCTGTATCCGAAATACTACATCTAGCCCTTTCTTGATCTAGAGAACCTTTTTCCCTCTGTAGCTGAGGTGCAGCCCCCACTCTTGCTCCTTGCTGACTCAGGGCAGTGTCTGCTGCTAAGGGAAATGAAGTACAAGTTTGTAGTTCCTAAGTTGTCTTTTCTTTCTTCCCTTGGCACCCGCCCCACCCTGGGTCAGGCTCTGAATGTACTAAGTCCCCTTGCCCATCTTCCCACACCTGGACCTCACACTGCTCTTCCAGAGGAGGCCAGCAGAGGCAGAGGGTTTGAGTGGGGAGCTGACCCCTCCTTGACCCTGTGTCAGGGCTCCCCATGTCTTATCTCCTACTCCAACCCTGACATCCCGCCCTGGCTATCTTAATTTAGAACTCACCACTAACCTGCTCTTCAACCTTTCCCCAGGACCAGGTCTCCAAGGACAAGGCCTTCCAGACGATGGCTACCATGTCTTCCGCACAGCTCATCTCTGCACCTTCCCTGCAGGCCAAGCTGGGTCCTTCTGGCCCTCAGGTAGCCTGGGTTGGGAACTGTGGAGATCTGGGATGAAAAGATGGGGCTGTAAGGGCTAACGGAGGATGTTTGACCCTCCACTGTGTCTCCCCTCCAGGCCACCGAGCTTTTTCAGTTCTGGTCAGGGAGTTCTGGGCCACCGTGGAATGTTCCAGAGTGAGTACTTCATGTCCCCTGCACTTCCCCCTTTCGTCCCACCTATCTCCACTTTGGGCCTAGAATGTGGAACCATACCATGAGGCTTTGAAGTCCAGCACTACACTTTGCCCCTTGGGGTCTTGCTGGAGGTGACCTCTTTTATGCTCAGGGCTCCCTTACTCCATCTCTGAAAAGGGGGACATGTACATGGGAATAATGGCTCCTAAGTGAGAATGTCACTCCCAGAGGCTACTATAGGGACATGGGAGTTCCAAAGCACCTTGGGAGGGCAATTAGCACTTTGGCTAAGTGCTCCTGGGAGGGATGTAGGGGATGATGGGAAGGCAGTTGTAGAACCAGAGGCTCCTGCAAGAGACAAACGAAGGCATAGAGTTTTGTGGGAAGACAGTTACGGATACAGATGGTTTTGGGAGAGACAAGAAGGGCTCAGAAACTTATGAGGAGGAAGTTTTAAGGCTCCTTGAGAAGATATGGGGACTCCTAAGTATTATGAGAACGGAGGCTTAAGGCTCAAGGATGGATGAAGGGTTCCCAAGAGGCTTATAGGGAGACAATAATAGACCTAGAGGCATCTTGGAAGGGTGAGTGGGTCTCAGGATCCTGGGAGGGCAGTTGTAGATGAAGAAACTCCTGGGAGGGGCTGTGAATGCCTGTGAAGGCTGGTTTCCAGACTCCTGAGGTGGCTCTGGGGCTTAAGAGTGGGGAAGGGGCTACTTTATTCTTTCATACTTGGGAGGGAGAAAATGAGTGCCTCAGCTCTGAGACCCCTGGGTGCTGAGGCTCTAGGAAGAGCCTGGCCAGGCTGGATGTTGGTAGCACACTGTGGCTGCATGAGGACAGCATGGGGGTATGTAGTGAGAGAATGAGAAGTTAGGTTGTAGGATCTGGTCACCAGAGACACTGGAAAGATCGTAACAAGTGCCCAGGGGCTGAGGGCACTTGTTACTCTTACCGAAGGTGTGCTGCCAAGGAGGAATGGCTGGGTGCTGGTGAGCCATAGTCAAATGGGGGAGACCAGTGCTGACTAAGCTGTCACTTTCAGAAATTCAAAATGGAAGTGTGTGCAGCGTTGTGAGGAACCACCGTGGGTTTTATGGCGAGGGAGAAAGTTCTGGGGTTTTCTGAGATCAGTAGGGTTGGCCAGGTGAAGGGTAGGGGTAGAACTATTCTAGGCAGTTAAACAACATGTGGAAGGCCATTGGCAGGAAACTGAGGTGAGCCTTGGAGGCTTGGTTTTTTTGGTTTGTGGGTGTGTGTTTTGAGATAGGGTTTCTCTGTGTAGCCCTGGCTGTCCAGGACTTGCTTTGTAAACCAAACTGGCCTCAAACTCACAGAGATCCACCTGTCTCTGCCTCCCATAGCGCTGGGGTTACAGGCGCGTGCCACTGTGACAAGCCAGGAGGTCTGTTTTAAGCAGTTGGACACCAGATATTTACTGGGCACCTAAGTCTCTGGTTTGTGCTCTTATTAGGGAAAAGAGTAGAAGGCTGTAATTTTCCTGGACCTATACACACACACATATACATATACATATACATATACATATACATATACATATACATATACATATATGGAATCAGGTTCAATCCAGGCATTGTGCATGCTAGTCAAGTGTTGTACCACTGGGGTCTATTTCTAGCCTCAAGGGTCTCTTTTGCTTTGATTTACTGAGACAGGCTCTCAGCTTTTTAGCTCAGACTATCCTCTGCCTCAGCCCCTGACATCTCAGACATTCTGTGATGCTGATGTGTGCAGCATACCCAATAAGAACTCTGTTTTAGAAGATCAGGTGGTGACATTTGAGTGATGGCCAGATAGGGATCATGGCATTGTGGAAAATCCAATGAAGTACAAATTTGAGAGCTGAGAAAAGGAGACCCTGGGACTGATTGGAAGGTCTCTGGGGTTTGTCTTTCTCATCTTGGTCTGTTGATCCCTGACCTCTTCTGACCTCTGGCTTCACAGTCTCCTGAGCTACCTCTAGGCCTCTGGAGTGAGTCTACAATGATTATTTGTGAGTGGCCAGTTAAGTTAGAATTGGTTAAATTTACAGCTGGGCATGGTGGCACACACCTTTAGTCCTAGCTCTTGGAAGGCAAAGGCAGCTGGCCTTTGTGAGTTCCAGGACAGCCAGGGCTACACAGTGAGACCCTTTTTAAAAAACAGAAGAGTTAAATTTACATAAAAGTCCAATTCCTCAGGTATGTCAGCCAGACTAGTGCTAAGTGGCAACATGGCCAGTGGCCACTTCTTGGGACAGTACAGAGGTGGAACATTTCTGTCACATAGAACAGGTATAGTGGCTCATTCCTGTCACCAGTACTCCAGAGGCTGCAAAAACCTGGGAACTGGGGGTGCAGCTCAGGGGTAAAGCATCTGCCTAGAGTGCCCCAGTGAGGAGCCAGGGTGTGGCACAGTGCTAGAGCGCCGGCTAAGAGTGTCCAGTGTGGGGGATGCTCTGTGGAGGCCATGCCTAGCATACTTGAAGCACTAGGTTCAATTCCAGTAGTGCCAAAACAACAAAAATCCTTGTGCTTATGGTTGGGACTGGCTAGGGTTGGAGTCCAGGCTTTATGGCACCATCGCTGTGTGGCTTTGGGCTGCTCCGTTGGCATCAACCTCAGTCTCAGGTGAGAGACGAGGAGCGGTCATCGCGCCCACTTCGCCATCATTCGTGGAATGCTGTGCTGGGGGCACCTGGCCTCTCAGGGTCACAGGTCAGTGCTGGCTGTTTCAGTCAGCATCATTCCACTGCACTCATAGGGTTCCCTTTGTTCTGCAGCGTGAAGCCATTCTCACAGACACCATACTCCGTGTCACTGAGTCCCCCATCCACTGACTTACCAGGTGAGAGTCTGCTTCCCATCTGCACCGATGTCTCCCCTCTTCCTCTGCTTCTGGCCCCAGCAGGAATTCCTTCACTTTTTTGTCAGTTGGGCACAACCAAGTAGTCAAAACCCAAATCAAATTAGCAAAAGGAGGAGGAGGAAGGAAAGGTGAAGACAGAAAGGTGGCTTCAGGCATGACTGGATCTAGCAGCTCAGTGTGACCAGTAGGGCTTGCTTTCCTCTGTGTCGGCTTCGTTTCTATGTAGAGTCTACCAACAGCCCAGAATTCTCCACCAGTGTGGCTATGGATACCCACATCGATTGGTGAAGGGATTCCTAGCTCCCTCAGTTTTACTCCCTTTCTGTTGCTGTGACCTCTAACAGCACGGGCAAGGTAAACTGTAGCGGAGTTTATTTGGGGTTCCGGAGGCTTAAGAGTCCATCCATGACAGCAGTGTGGAGGCATGGTGGTGGGAGTGGGAAGCTGAAGGGGCACACCTTTTTTGTTTTGTTCATTGAGACAGGGTCTCCCTGTGTAGTCCTGACTGTCTTGTAACTTGCTCTGTAGACTAGGCTGGGCAAGAACTCAGAGGTCCACCTGCGTTCGCCTCCCAAGGGCTGGGATTGAAGCTGAGAGTACAAACCGGGAATAGTGCAGTGACACACTTCCTCTGGCAAGGCCACACCTCCTAAACCGACTGAGATGCCACTATGAGAGACAGCTCATATGCAAGCCAGACACTCCGGTTTTACAATCCATCAATTATAAGTAACGTCTGGCTGCTGTAAATAGCAGAATATCCGGATCAGTACCCAGAAAAGTAAAAGCTTCAAGGATTCCAGCTGGTGCAGGGTGCAGAGGTGTGCTTGCCGGCTCAGCCATCTCAGGCCAGGTGTCTCTGGAGTTCACTGGCCTCTGCCTCATTGTGTCAACGTGGCTGCTGTAGCTCTGCTTTGCCCCTTGCAAACGGGACTTGATCAGGCCCAAAAGCTTTCTTCTTTCAAATATTTGCCTTTTGAATTCCATTCCAGTAGATTCCCTCTAACACATTGGCAAGGACTGTCTCCTGGCCACCGTTAGCTGCATGGGAGCCTGGAGGAAATGTTTTTCTAAGATGCATTCATTTCATTTGCATGCATTTTATTTGTATGAGTGATTTTCTTGCATGTATGTAAGTGTGCTGTGTGTGTGCCTGGTGCTCCTGGAGGCCAGAGGAGAGCACATTAGATCCCCTGGAACTTGAGGAACAGACTGTTGAGAGTCCAGGTCTCCTCAAGGGCACATGTGCTCTAACAGCTGTGCCATCTCTCAGTGCCCTCCCCCACCTTATTTTTCTTTTTGGGGATTGCTTTGTAGCGGAGTATGACCTTGAACTCACGCTCCTGCCTCCACCTCTCAAGTGCTGGGAGGATGTGTGCCCATTTTCCTAGCTGATGTGGTACTAGGGAAAGCCCAGGCTTTCTTGCATACAGGCAGGCTCTCTGCCAGATGAGCTGCCACCATCCCTAGCCCTCACAGAGAAGGTGGCCAAGAGAAAACAGGGCCAGCCTGGCCCATCATTTTGATCACGTTTTCTTTCTTCTCTTTCAAGGGTACGAGCCACCCCCAGCCCTCTCACCTGCTCCATCTCCCCCAGCCTGGCAGGCTCGGGCCCTGGGCACTGCACGCCTGCAGCTGGTAGAGTTCTCGGCGTTTGTGGAACCGCCGGATGCAGTTGACTCGGTGAGTGGGAGTGTTGCAGGGCAGCGCGGCTGTGGGAGTGCAAAGAGGGAAGGGGGAGAACACAGAGCTGCTGTCCTCGCTTCGGCAGCACCACTCAGGCTCGTGAGATGTCCTGCTTGGCCCCCTGTGTGGGCTTTCTTTCTCATTTATGTGCAAGCCATAGGTCAACCTGAGGTGTGTCTACCTTGTTTTCTGAGACAGTCTGTCACTGAACTTGAGTTTACCCAGTAGCCCATGCTGCTGACTAGTAAGCCTCAGGGATCTACCTGCCTGCCCCTCAACATCACTGAAATTACAGGCACAGGTTGCCATGCCGAGAACTGAACGCAGGTTATTCAGTTCATCTAACACCAGATTTCTGCTGTTTGGCAGGCTTTACGCTAAGGAAATGGGAAAGATCAATAGTTTTCCTTTTTCCTGATTTACTTCTTTATTGTTTAGGTAGGTCTGTAGCTCAGGCTAGTCTTGAACTCTCAGCAGTTTTCTCCCTCATCTTCCTGGGGCTGGGATGGTAAGCGTGCACCGAGATGTCCAGTTTTTCATGTGAGTTTCAGCGGGTATGCTGAGCAGATGTGTTGCCCCAGTGATTCAGCGCTACCATTTTCGAGGGCTACAGGATCTCCTGGGTTCTCTGCATCTGGCCAGCAGAGGGAGAGAGGACGGTCTGTGCCCAGGTTTTTATGGGCCTGCTTGAATGAAGTGACTCACAGGTCTGCTCACGTCTCATTGGCCAGGTCTTAGTCATGTGCTCACACCTATCTGCAGAGGCCTGGGAAATGTAGTTCACTGCATGCGGTGTCTCTGCAGCCACACTAATGCCACCCTTCAGGTTGTCACGGTTACTAAAAAGGGCGATACAGATGAGACTCACATGGAAGTCTGTGAACCCAGCACCCTGGAGGCTGAAGTCAGTCTGAGGGCTGGGGATTTAGCTCAGCTGGTAGAGAGCACGCATGAGTGAAACTCTGGGTTCTCTCCTCAGGGTTGCAGATACTGGGTGTGGTGGTGCATGTGGGCATTCTCAGCACCCTGGAGGTGGAGGCAAGGAGGATGCGGAGTTCATGGTTCTCAACTTTTACACTGGGAGTTTTGAGTCGAGGCAGGAATACACAAGACACTGTCTCAACAAAACAACCTAGGCATGGTGATACACGCTTTTAATCTCAGCACTTGGGAGGCAGAGACAAGAGGATCTCTAAGAGTTTGAGGCTAGCCTCTATGTAGGCTCTCTCTACATAGAGAGAGTCCCAGAGGGTCTGGGGGGCTCCTGCCTTTCTGTCTGTCTTCCCCACAGACTGGTAGGTGCCTTCCCTGGGTCTTGCTGTGAGTGACTCTGGCTTATATGAGCTTAATTTTCTCATGAGACTTTCACAAACCTCTTGCTAGAAAATACCATGTGCCATCTTTTTATTAGATTTGTGAGTGTGTGTGTGTGTTGCAAGGTGCTCAGAGAGACCAGAGGAGAGCATCAGATTCTCTGGAGCTGGAGTTACAGGTGGTTGTAATGGCCTCTCTTGCAGGCTTGTACCATTATGCCTGTTTCACACACCATCACTTTTGAGCCTTTTTCTCTACTTGCCAGGATTTTTCTCTGACATTTCTGTTCTTTCTAAGGTAACTTGTGCTTCCCATCTCTGTGGAAGACTAAACTTGGCAAGTTCAGGGACTCTCACTGGTCTTTTAGCCACAGGACCACTTAGCCATGAGACCTGTTCCAGCGTACAGCCAGCCTGCCTGGTTCTTATGTATACAGAAAGTGATCTCCCTGGAGAGCTAGTGGGTTTTCCTGAAAGGACATGTGTGAAATGGGCTTTGAGGGAGTTTGCTCGGTGTGGCATTGTAAATTCCATGTACAAAAATGGAAGTTTCAAGTAAATTGATGACAAAATATGGTGGGAGCTGGTGAGGTTGTAGAGAGAGGGCAGGCACTGGATTCTGGGGACCAGATCAACTCTAGAGCTGTGTGAGGAATAAAACAAATGTGGGAGAGGCTAGACCAGAGACTGGGAGAAGATGCAATCTGAGCAGGTTGGGACAGTAGGGACAGGTGCTGGATGTGGCCCAAGGTGTGGCATTGTGGTGGAGAGTGGGTCTGTGGGGTGACCGTCTGGGTCAAGCCCATGTCCCCTCCCCCTCTCATCTTCTGCAGTTCCAGAGGCACCTGTTTGTCCACATCAGTCAGCAGTGTCCCAGTCCTGGAGCGCCACCCCTGGAGAGCGTGGACGTGCGGCAGATCTATGACAAATTCCCTGAGAAGAAGGGCGGCCTCCGGGAGCTGTATGACCGAGGGCCACCCCATGCCTTCTTCCTGGTCAAGTTCTGGGTGAGTGCTCCCACGTCATGGCACTCTCAGCCAGGTCTGAGGAGGGTTTGGGGTCTGCCTGGGCCACTCTTCAAAAACAAAAACTGCATGGGAGAGTATGTAGGTGGCATGCCTTCTGTGATGGAGTTGAGTATCTGCAGATTTGGGGGACAAGAGGGCCATCCATAGTTAGCTGTGGCTAAGAGAGTACCTTCAGTCTTCTTAGGTCCATCTGGTGTCCAGTCATGTGGCAAGCACTGAAGAGCTCAGGGTTGTGGAAGGGTCTAGTTCTCCAAAGGAAGTCTACAGACCATTTCAGTCAGTTTGGTCTCCCTGGGTGTCTGGTTATAAAGCTTTCTGAGCCTTGTGCTATGGTGCACGCCTGTCATCCCACTCCATTTTCTTAGTCTTATCCCCCGCCCTTTTATTCCTTCTCATTTTGTGACCGCAATCCACTGTATGTAGACCACCCTAATCTCAAACTCACAATCTTCCTACATCAGGCGCCCAAGTGCTGGCATTATAAGCTTGCACTGATACGCCTGCTAGAGCTGAATTCTAGAGCTAGGAGCTTCAGGCAAAAAAGTTCTGTGGCTTCTAGAGAATGAGGATCAGGGCTATTCTGGGGACCCTGACTGCTCTAATTCTCCTGGGACAGCGGGTGGGGCTTCTACAGAGCACAGCTCTCGCTGACCTGGGGCCTTTGGTGTGGGATGGGCCAGTGGTTGCAACTTGGGGAGTCAGGCTCTGGGTCAGAATTTTGTCGGCTTTCCCTCAGCTCACCTGTGCCTCTCTGTCTCGTCTCAGGCGGACCTGAACTGGGGCCCCAGTGGTGAGGAGGCAGGGAGCGGTGGAGGCAGCGGTGGCTTTTACGGAGTGAGCAGCCAGTATGAGAGCCGGGAGCTCATGACACTTACCTGCTCCTCCAAAGTCTGCTCCTTTGGCAAGCAAGTGGTGGAGAAGGTGGAGGTGAGGCCCAAGGCTGGGGTACTGCCTGCGTCAAGGGTCTAACGAGCATGTGGCAGTGTGTGAGATAGGGCCATCCCAGCCTCTCCGGCAGTCAGTGTGCACGAGGAATCAACCCGAGTTCAAGGAAAGCTGAGGATGTAGCTTAGCTGTAGAGTGCTTGCCAGGCACCATGTAAACAAAGCATCAGGAATTTCAAATCCACCCTAAGCTGCTTAAGGAGATCCAGGGTAGCCTGGGCTCTATGAGACCCTGTCTCAAACCAAAAACAAATAATGGAAAGTCACAGCTAGAGCTCATTTCAGGGATTGAAAGCTGTAGAGATTAACTACACAAGATGAAGAAGGCTCTTGAGGGTGTGGGAGGAGTCTGGAATGAGGTGGTCCAAATGTTATACTTGCAGGGCTGTGGGGTCTTGAAGCCTCACGCTCAGCTTGGAGATGCTTTCGAGGGTGTTTGGAGATCACTGGGGTTTCAGACCACGACTCTGGGGAGATGGAGGCTTCCTGGTTTGCAGGTTCAGGGGCCCAGAGTCGGTCACCCAGGGGCTCTGGTCACTTAAGGTGGGGTGCTAAGGGGGTGATGGTGGCTGCTGCATCTCTCACTCTTTTCCCCACTCCCAGACCGAGCGGGCGCAGCTGGAGGACGGACGTTTTGTGTACCGCCTGCTGCGCTCCCCCATGTGTGAGTACTTGGTTAACTTTCTGCACAAGCTGCGGCAGCTGCCCGAGCGCTACATGATGAACAGCGTCCTGGAGAACTTCACCATCCTCCAGGTGACAGACCGGGCCGGGATGGCAGTACTCTAGCAGACCCTCTCAGCCCTAGTGCTGCCAGCCAGGCAGTAGGGACTCCAAAGATGAGCTACCCCTTCCTGCAGAACACGGCTGTCCCACGTGGAGTCCCTCTTCACTAGGGCAACTGGGATACCTCAGCTTCTCTTATTTTGGAAGTCCAGAGTTGAAGGAGCCCCTTTGATTTGGGGGTTGTGCTAAGATGACCTGCTGATGCTTCTGGTGGCATGGTGGGGACTCCTTTTCTCAGGAACATGATGTGATGGGGAGGCCCCTCCCTGCCACCTCTCAGCTCTGGGGTGTCCCCTTTGCCCAAGGAACCTGACCTGCAGGGCACCCCCCTTGGGGTACAGAGTATGGCGGGTTTCCCTTTCTTGGGTGATAGGAGGAGGCCAGAGGTTTCCTTGGTAACTACAGGTGAGTGGGAGTCCCATGTTGTGTGTCCCCTCCTTGCCCTACAGTGAGAGTCTGTCCTCCTGGCAGGTGGTGACGAACAGGGACACTCAGGAACTGCTGCTGTGCACGGCCTACGTCTTTGAAGTCTCCACCAGTGAACGTGGAGCTCAACACCACATCTACCGCCTGGTCAGGGACTGACAGAGCCCCATTGCTGTTTTTTTTTTTTTTTGTTTTGTTTTGTTTTGTTTTTTTCCACAACACCCCCTTCCCAGGAAGGACCCTTTGGCTCTTCCTGTAACCCTCATTTGGAGAGGGGCCCATGATTAAAAAAAAAAAAAAAAAAAAAAAAAAGCCTGATCTCAGAAGCATGAGCAATGGGGGCTGGCTCCTGCTAGAGGGGAGCCGAAAACTTGGTTATTGAGCTGAGTTTGAGGTTAGAGCCCCACTACAAGGACCTCACAGGGAGCGATTGACAGGACACGTCACTCCTGAGCATCAGGGACTGGGGACAGGAGTGCACACTCACAGGTACAGCCTGGCCTCTCACTTCTGCGAGGGCCCCTCCTCACTCTTCTGGAAATGGGGCCCAGGCTATGTTGGCGGTGTCACTCATTGCCTTGGACACTCTGTTTTCCAGTAGTTCCTCCATGCCTGCCTTCCCCCCACACCCTTCCTCTGTGATCTGTGATGTCACAAATTGAAGTTAATGGTTTCCCAGCTAGGGGTAGAGTGAAGTGGGACCTGAAATTTTTTTTAATATAAGGAGATATTTATACACAGTGTTAGGGATGTAATCGTGTCTTAGCTGGGCAAGCGGTGGGGTGGGCCTTCTTAATCTCGTCCCCCTCTTCAAGTGAGCCACGGACCACCCTGCCACCTCCCTTTCCCCCAGAGTGATGGTTTATGTTTGAAGGAGAATAAAGCTATTTTTACCAAGACGAAGGGGATTTATTTGAGGTGTCATGTGGGAGGTGGCAGACAGATGGTGTGGGGAGGAGGGAGCGGGGAAGGGAAGGAAGCTGGGGGCGGAAGTCCCTGGCCCTGTGGGGGAAGTGGTGGCTGTTGGTAGGGCAGACACCTGGGTCCCCAGGGAATGAGGCCTGAGGCATGGGCCTCCAGGCCCGTGGCCATCCAGGATGGAAACAAATATTTCCTGGCTACGTGGAGGTGCGTGGGTGCCGACGGGGCGGGCTGTGGCCTAGCGGTACCGGGCCAACCGGTCGTAGACGTGGTCCAGATTTCTACACAGGAATATTGAGAGCGTCATGAATCCGAGCTGGGAAAGAAAGGAGATGGTTCAGGGTTGGAGAAGGGGTGGAACCCGGAGGGAGAGGCAAAGGGTGAGCATGCGTAAGCGCTGGGAGTGAATGGCAGCCTTAGAGCGGAATGTTCAGCGGCAGTCTGCAAAGGAGAAAGCTCAGAGGCAAGCCCAGGGTCCTTTATTCTGGAGGCTCGGCCTTCCCCGCTTGTGCCTCGACCTCCGCGTCAGCGCCTGCGGTCTTGGTCTCAGGTGGCTCCTCCTCAGCATCCCACATGGGCCAGGGCCCCAGCGCCATGGGTAGCTTGCCTTGTGGAGCCTTGTCCCCCCATGTGGGGCAGGCACCCGCCATGCCCCAGCTGCCCCAAGGGGTACTGCTGCGTCCACCGCTGCTGCTTAGCCCGCCCCAGCGCCCGCCGCTGCCGTCAGCACTCAGTCCGGGCTTAAGGCTCGAACCCTCGGCTCCAGGCTGCAGCAGCGCGGGCTCTCGGCTGAGCGCTCTGCGGCGTAGCTGCAGACACAGCGCCATCCCGCTCACCTACGGGAGAAAGGAGCGGGCCGAGGGCAGGGCACCGCGTGCAGCCAATCAGAGTTTACACAAGCCAGGTCTCCGCCCCATCCCATGCTATTGCTGTAGCAGACAACGACGCCTCTGCTAGGCAGGCTCGTTCCCTCGGCAACGGAAAAATATCTCTGGACGGACAAATCACCCGTGGGGGCGGGGCCAAGTCACCTCAAGAAGACCGACTCCCAGACAGATTCCCACTATGGAGATGAGATTGTTGTGCAGCCACTTCCGGAGGCTCTGCGCGCAGCCCTGGGGATGCAGGGCACATGTAAAGGCGGCGTTGCTTCTGGAGCTCACCCTCAAGCCAAGGATCCCCTCAGATCCTCTTCTAGGTTCCCAATGTCCAGGTATCCGTCCGCGTTCTAGCCAAGCTTTGCCCTGCGCCAGGCTCCCAGGCTCCTCCCTTGTGTAGGCCACGCCTCTCACCCTCAGAGATCCGCCCCTTTTGTTATTAGCTTTCTAGTCCAGTTCAAGTTCCAGAGGCGTCCAGATACGACGCGACCTTTTCTAGTGGCCACCCCTCCCAAAGCCTGCCGCCTGGTGCCACGCCCCGTGTAGCCCTGGACCACATCAGAGGGCCCCAAACTCTGGCCCCGCCTATCTCTCTGCTCCGAGTCCTGTTGCCTTGGTGGGCCACACTCACCTCCGGGTGTCCCGCCCCTTCAGTCTTTTTGTTGTTTGTTTTGTTTTGTTTTCTGAGACAAGATTTCCCTGTGGATCGCTGGCTGTCCTGGAACTTTGTCCATAGAGCAGGCTGGCCTCGAACTCCCTTTCTGTCTTTTTTTTCTAGCCTCCGACTCACTTGCTGAGGCCACGCCTCTGATATTAGCCACACCCTCCAAGCCCAGCCTTCCTCTCTTAAGACTCCCCCCCCCCCAAACTTCCTCCCTCCCGACCGTCCACTTCTCCAGTACCCTGCTCCCACAGTCCAGAGGTACCCGCGGTATCCCACCTCACGGTAGATGTGAGCTTTTGCCTGGAGCACGCATAGGTCAGCAGTCTGCCTCAGCTTCGCCGGCGGCCCCAGCCGGCTCAGCTGGGAGAGGAAGAGCTTATCAAAGCCTACGGAGTCGTTGGTCGCCGTGAAGTTGTAGCAGGAGCAGGGCACCAAGAGCTCCTCAGACTCGTTCCCTCTCAGCATGCGGGCGCTGATCCAGTCCCGCGGAGAGTGCCAGCCGCAGCAGCGCAGCTGGGGGGGGGGGGGGACAGAGTCAGGGACACGGTGTCACGGGTGCAGGTGTGGAGCCGGGCCTGGGGGCAGGGTAGGCTAGGCAGGGTGGCTGTGCAAGCGGCAATGGACTGGAGTAGACGGGGCAAGGCTCAGCGCAGGGCTCAGGGTGAACCTGAGATTGTGGGCGGGGTGACCGTCTCGGGACAGGTGATGAAGGAGCCGGACTACATCTGTCGCGGAGGGGGGGGCCCTCACACAGAAATTCTGGGACTAGGGGTGGAGCAACCCCAGGGTGTAGGGTCTGGGGACTTAGTTATGTGGGGGCAGAAATGCTGTCGTCTGGGGTGCTCAAGCAGCGTGGCAGGCGTGGGGAGAAGGAACAGGTGACCCACGGCCCACACGGAGGCAGAGTCTCTCTAAACCCCAAGGCGAAGCTGAGATGTTAGAGGTCGGAGCCTAAGGAGTAGTAACTGTCTTAACACAGGAGGGGTCGTGAGCTCACACCTGGAACTGCGCATAGTCCCAGCTCTCTTCCGCTGCTGTCTCATCCGGATTCATGTGGTAGCTGTGGATTGTCTGCAGCACCAACTCCTGCACCCTTCGCTCCAGCTGAGAGGGTGTAGACGAGGCTGGACCCAGGCACTCCTACTGCCCCAGCCCCGCCCACGGCATCAGTGACTGGCTGTGGCTCTCTTCCTCAGAATCTCAGAAGTGTTTCTAAGGCTCTTTAGGTTTCCATTGCTTCTTCTCTCTCTCTTAATTTAAATTTAAATTTGGAATAACATCATTTTGGAATGAAATTATTCAATAAAGTTCTTTTCCTGTAGCCCACATTGATCTGGAACTCCCGCTCCTCCTGCCTCTGACCTGAGTGCCAGGACTACAGGTACCCAGTGTTGGAGACCAAACCAACGTCTTATGAGTACTAGACAACCACCCAACCAGCTGAATAAATGCTAGCAAGCGGAAGTCGGTTTGTGTCTCTATCTCCACCCTCTCCTCTCTCTCCAGGGTCTCTCTGTGTAAGCCTGGCTGTCCTGGAATTGGTTGTATAGACCAAGCTGGTCTCAAGGAGATCTGCCTTCACCTTCCTTCACTGGGATTAAAGGTGTGCGCCGTCACACCTTCTTTGAATAGCAGCCTCACTGTGTTGGCCAGACTAGCCTTGATCTCTTGGGCCGATATGATTGTCCGCCTCAGCCTGTGAGTAGCTAGGGCCTTGTGCAACATTACGGCAGCTTTCTCTTTCTGTCTCCATGTGCCTCTGTCCCTCTGTGTCCTTTCTGTCTCTGTGCCTGTGTGTTCTGTGGCTCAGCTTCCTGGTTGATGGCAGTGCTCAGCTGCCTTTTTTTTTTTTTTTTCTTCTCTCTCCACCCCTGGCCCTCCATGGTTGAGGTAAGAGTGTTGGTTAACTCACCCGGATCCTCTGGGTGGAGATGAGGATCCCCAGTGTAATCTCTGTGGCAAACAGGAGCAGCAGCAGCCCGAAATACTGAGGACAGAGTGGAGAGGACAGAGTGAGGACAGAGTGCTCACCCTCTCAGGCCTTTGAGGGCCAGAACAGGAATGGTGATGAGGAGTGTCACTCACCAGGCCCAGAAGACAACGCAGCTCCTTCAGAGCCCCAACACAACCCAGGAGAGCCAGGGTCATGGTGAGGATACCTGAGACAGCCAGGACCTTGGACCAGGTCTGCAGTGGCACGAAGGACAAGCCTGAGGTGAGAAAGTCAGTGAGGGGGGCTAGGGAATAGCAGCTCCTTCGGCCCCCCCAGGCAGAGCCCTATCTCCTGCAACCCTGTGTCCCTTACTCTGAATCTGCCTGGGTGGGCCTCTGTCCACACCCAGAGTTGGTTTTTCTCCCTACATTTTTCCTTCCTTCCTTCCTTCCTTCCTTCCTTTCTTTCTTTCTTTCTTTCTTTCTTTCTTTCTTTCTTTCTTTCTTCTCTAACTCAGGCTGGCCTTGAACTGACATTGTAGCCAGAATTGACCTGGAACTTCTGATCTTGCCTATACCTCCCATGTGCTGGGATGACAGGTAAAAGCCACCACATACACCCCAAAATTGTTCTGAGGCCTGCATGAGACACTGTTCAACTCAGCGGTCAGTGTGGTAAAAATATGAGTCGCTATGGTTTTGACGTTCACCCCTTCAGTGGTTTCCTTGTTATTGCTGTTTTATTTCTGCTCTTCCCCTTCCCCGCTATGTGACACCCAGCAAGAGACCTACCTCCCTTCTCTGAACCTCAAGAAGGGACGGTCTGTGAGCCCCAGTCTAAGATGTGACAGAGGAAGTATTTAAGAAATGTTTATCATTTCTATTATTATTATTTTATTATTATTATTATTATTATCATCATCATCATCATCATCATCATCATCATCATCATCATTATCATCATGACCTCATTTTGTTCTCATTGTTTCTGAGGCAGGATCCCATAGTCCAGCTTAATCTCCAACCCACTACTGGTCTAGGATAGCCTAGAACTCCTGACCCTGCACCTTCTGCGTGCTGGGATGATAGGCATGCACAGCCACATCCGGTTACATATCCTATTTGCCAGAGAGGACACAGCATCCTAGAGGCACAGTGCTGGTGGCCAGTGGGCTCCAGAGCTTGAGAGAGCCCTGTCTGGGAATTTGGTAACTTCTGAGGGCCTCTGGGACAAGGGAGAGAGATACCAGGAGGTGCCTTGTTGTGGGTTCTGGGTCTAGGTGCACTCCAGCAGGACCCTCCCCTACTGCCCAGCCCCCTCACCCACAAAGGACATGAAGCTGGTCTTGTCAATGAGGATCCAGGTGCCAAAGCAGAAAATCAGGCCGCCTAGTACCTAGGGCAAGAGAAGAGAATGAGGCTTGAGCAAACCCACTGTGGCCCTAGGACCCAGGCTGGGTAGCCATGAGCAGACTCACAAAGAAGAAGAGGTTGAAAACGAAGAGGAAGTACTTGATGAGGCTGAGGCAACTCTCTTGGGCTGACATCTTCACCTAGATGTAGAACGACCCGCTCAGGGAACCCAGACAGAAGAGGTGTTAGCCACGGGGGACAAGCAGGATAATGGACGAAGAAGGAGAGAGACTGAGAGGCACAAAGGAAGAGGGCAGAGAAAGAGGAAGTTCCGGGGTGGAGCTCCACCCTGCCCTCTTCATTTAGTGACTGTCAGCTGGGGCCCTAACTTCTTCACGCATTCCACAGGGCACACAGCAGTACCTGGGGGTCCTTGGAACATGTGGGTACCAAGGACACAATGGGGGGTTCCTCGGAGGTGTCCATGGCTCAGGCAGGGTGCACAGGGGCTCTTGATGGACTTCCACCCAGTTTGGTCCTGGGACCTCAGGGCTATCTCTGCAGAGGCCAACCTCACAGACACTCTGACCTCACTGCTCACTGGCTCCGCCCCCTGTGTCCTGTGGTCTTCTGCTTAGGACCTTAAGCCAGCTGGCTCTCTCTGTCTCTGCCTCTCTCTGGGTTTCTGCCCCTCTCTGCCTGTCCTGTGAGTCTCTTTCTCTGCGTCTCCTCCAACCCCTTCTAGACCAGGTGCTCCCATGTGCTTGGAGTTGGGGGGGTAGTGTGGACACCTGGGGAAGTGAAAGTGGTACAGAGGAGGTGTGACAGTCCCAGGGGTGAGGAGGGCAGCTAGGCAATGCCTGAACATCCGGTGGAGGAAGGGAGCCTCAGGTGGCATTTCCTGCCTCTGTGGAGAAATCTGAGGGGAGGAGGCCCCAGAAGGGCCAGACATCGGTGGGGGGGGGGTGTCACTTGAACACATGTACCCAGCATCTTCACAGTTTCCCATGAAGTGCCCAGCAGTTCCTCACAGATTTCTAGTGTTGTGTGTGAGTGTGTGTGTGGGGGGGGTGTCTCTGAGTTGACAGCACTCTGTCTTCTGAGACATACCTCATCTACTTCCCTCCTTCCTTCTTTCCCACCCTCCCTCCTTCCTTCCTCCGTATGTGTGTATGTATGTGTTCATGTGTGTGGAACACGGACAACATCAGGTGTCATTCCTCAGCAGCTGTCCCCCTTGTTTTATTTGTAACGGTGTGTGTGTGAGGCCACATTGTGCTTACGGAGGACAGGAGAAAACTTTCAGGAGTTGTGTCTCTGCCCCAAGCCATGCTCAGCTACCCATCCCCGATAAACCAATTAAAAGAACCAAATTAAGAGTGGAAAGCAGAAAAAGATTTACTTAATGAGGCCAGAAGGGAAGAGGACAGAGCCCCAGTGAGCCCCCCTAGTCGTCTTCAGGGTCCTGGAGTGAGATGAGGTGTGAATGGAGGGCTAATGTCATTCTCGTCTAAGCAGTCCGAGATGTGCTCCTACCCACCACTGAGCCATCATGGGCTTCAGGCTCCACCTGTAAGGAGGTCTGGCAAGCTCTCAGGACTGTCTGAAATCTCGTTCTGGGCGAGGTTAACCGCTGGTTGGCGCCTTTTCCTTCTCCCAGCAGGAAGATCCCCATTTCTTTGGAGTACGTTGTTTCAATAATCTGATACACATGAGACACTTAGGGTATCATCCCTTCCTCCATGTGGGATCTGGATGAAACACAGAGGATCAGGTTCGGTGCCTCATCCTCTTTTCAATCCTCTTCAGCTACCCTTCAAGTCCCTAGTCGGCCTTTGTGGAGTGTATGGTGGTTCTGTTACTGAAAGGGGGCTTTTGGTAAATACCGATGGTTTGACGTCCACATGGAATAAATGGGCAGATCAAGTCTTCCAAAGAAACAAAGCACACAGGGTATTAGGCTGAGCAGCGAGGAAAAGGGACTGCTGTGCACACGCAGTCAGAAACTGTTAGCACGCACGCGTGCTCTGCGGCAGAATCCTTCTCCACTATGGTAGCAGAGGCTCTATGCGAGCAATGGCGCAATGGCGCGGAGGCACAGAAACAGCAGGAAAGGCCGCGTGGGCTCATGCTGGGGACAGGCCTCCGCGGAGCCAGGGAGGCCTGGGGACGTTGCTAGGATTCCAAGCCTTCGCGACCTTTTCACCTACACAGCCCCTGAGAGCTAGGCCGGGCTTTCGAGGCCGGCCCTGTGAGCCCTGACGCCCGCGGATCTCTGGGTGGGCAGGGCGGCCATTTGCAGCCCCGGGGTCTTCGCAGGAAGCAGGCAGGGAGTTACGAGGTCAAGGGTCGCGGTTCCCCTTCTCCCTCAGAACCCGGAAAACTGCCTCCTCGCTCCTGGGCTGCGCCTCCCTGAGGCAGGGCTGGAGAGTCAGCCTCCCACAGCCTTGAAGGGCTGGTCTTTGGGGTAAAACACACGCGGTGAGAACCCTGCCTGCCTTCATTTTCAGCTCTGTGCAGACTTCCACTTCCTGTTTTGGAGGAGCCAGGACTTCAGCTTGCTTTCCTTGGTTCCAAGGAAGGAGGTAAAATGAGAGCCAGGGGTGTTTCTGAGGAGGCCCCGAGGGGCCTGTGACTGCGCCAGGGCCAGCCTTGTGGAAGCAGGTCTGAGGGTATCAGAAGTGACCAGCTGTCCCGGGGTCAGCCCCGGAGGTGGGGCTGGAACTCAGAGGGAGAGCAAGTGCCTAGCAGGTGTAAGGCCCAAGTCCCCAAGTGGCGAATAGAGAAATGAATAAGTAAAATAGAGAACCAAATCTAATGCTCAGTTCTGTCACTAAAAGTTCCAGTTGACTAAATTTTCCAGGAAACTTGTTTTTGGTTCTGCTAGTTTTGAATAGCTCCAAGAAAGGCAGATCTGTCTCTTTTTCACAATTTTTAAATTATTACTACTATCCGATGGACTGCAAAGTCAGGGTCAATGCTAACGTTATGAATTTTGAGATTCCAACCTTTTTTTATTTGGAGGTGTATCTCATTTTTGATATGGACAAAATACCCACAAGTATTGAAAATTTGTGTGTCATGGGTAAACCTCTAGCTTTGTCAACATGCCTAACTTTGAAAAATTATTGCTTGTGTTGATTGACTGATGATTTGGATGTGACTTCTGGTGCTCGTGTGGGGGTCAGAGGATAACCTGGGGGAGTTCTCTCCTTTCTTCATGTGGAGCACAAGGATTGAACTTAGATCAAAATTCCTCCTCCTCCTCCACAGGGCTCCCCAAGCTCTGGGGGGGGGAACCCCTATAGAGGCCTCCAGCTTGGACTCTCTCTGCCTGGCGTGTGGCTGTGGGTCTCCGCATCCATTCCCGTCAGCTGCTGGAGAAAGCCTCTCTGATGAGCTAGGCACTGACCCATGAGTATAGCAGAACAGCACTTGGAACCATTTCATTGGTTTTTTTGTTTGTTTGTTTTGTTTTTTGCCAGTCGTGTTTGGTTCCCTGCTCCCTGGGCTATCCAGCCTCTGGTTCCTGGCCATCAAGGCAGTGTCAGGTTCTGGCACTCTCTGAAGACGTGGGCCTCAAATTAGATGAGTCATTGGCTGGCCACTCCTGCAGGTCCTGCACTCCCACTCCCCGGCACATCTTGCAGGCACGACAGATTATAGCTGGAAGGTTTTGTGCCTGGGTTGGTGTCCAGGCACACCCCTGGGAGTTTCCACTGCACCACGTTTCTACATACCCTGTCCCCCTGCCCCGTGCTGCCGATTCTAGTCCCCTCTCCATGTTCTCTCTCCCTCCATCTCTTCCCTCCAAGTGATCCTTCCTGTTCCTGTTCCCACCTGCCCCAGCCCACCCACAGAACCTATTCTATTTCCCCTCTTTTTGTGTCCCTCCTAGAATCCTCCTTGTTATTTAGCCTCTCTGAATTGTAGCATGATTGTCATTTGCTTTACAGCTAATATCTGCTTATACATGAGTACATACTGTGTTTGTCTTTCAGAGTCTGGATTTCCTCACTCAAGATATTTTCTAGTTCTATTCATTTGCCTGCGTTTTGTGATATCATTTTTTTTTAAACTGCTGAGTTATTACTCTTTTACGTAAATGTATTACATTTCGTTTATCCATTTTTTGATTGAGGGACATCTAGGTTGTTTCCAGTTTCTGACTATTATGAATAAAGCTGCTATAAACATAGTTGAGCAAATGTCCTTGTGGTGGAATGGAGCACCCTTTGGGTAGAATCCTAAGAGCATTATAGGTGGTGCTTGAGGTAGAGCGATCCCCAGTTTTCTCAGGGCCTGTTAGATTGATTGCTGTAGTGGCTGAACAAGTGTGCACTGCCCGCCAGCAATGGAGCAGTGCTCCGCTTGCTCCACGCCCTCACCAGCATGAGCTGTCACTTGTGTTATTGAGCGTAGCCCTTCTCACAGGTGTAAGTAATTTTGATTTGCATTTCCCTGATGGCTACGAATGTTGAACATTTCTTTAAGTGTTTCTCAGCTATTTTAAATTCCTCTATTGAGAATTCTCTGTCTAGATCATTTTTAATTGGATTATTTGGCTTGTTGAGGTCTAGTTTCCTGAGATTTTGTTGTTGTTTGTTTTTCGAGACAAGGTTTCTCTGTGTAGCCATGCTGTCCCAGGCTTGCCTTGTAGACCCAGTTGGCCTCAAACTCAGAAATCCATCTGTCTCTGCCCCTCTAGGCCCCCCCCCCCAGCACCAGCTTTCTTGAGTTCTTAATATATTTTAGATATTAGCCCTTTTGCAGATGTAGGGCTGGTAAAGATCTTTTCCCATTCTGTAGGCTGCCGTTTTGTCCTATAGACAGTGTCCTTTGCCTTACAGAAGATTTTCAGTTTCATGAGGTCCCATTATTGATTGTTCTGCCTGTGCTATCAGTGTTCTGTTCTGGAAGTTGTCTCCTGTTCCAATGAGTTCAAGGCTCTTCCCCACTTTCTCTTCTATCAGGTTCAATGTATCTGGTTTTATGTTGAGGTCTTTGATCCACTTGGACTTGAGTTTTGTTCAGTGTGATAAATATGGATCTATTTGCATTCTTCTACATGCCAGCACCATTTGTTGAAGATGCTTTCTTTTAACCTGTCCATTTTTATGCCAATACTCTGTGGTTTTTATCACTTTACTTCTGTAATACAGTTTGAAATCAGGGATGGTGATATCTCCGGAAGTTCCTTCGTTATTCAGGATTGTTTTGCGATCCTCTTTTTTTGGTTTTTCCATATGAAGTAGAGTATTGTCCTTTCAAGGTCTGTAAGAATT